CGTGCCCGCGTGCCAGGGTGCTTATCACACCGAGTGGCCGCGACCCGCTTTATTCTCGGTCTCCGCAGACGGAGCGTGCGTGCCCAGAGAGCAGGAACCGCGTCTCGCTCACCTCCGCCGTCCCACACACCTGGCACGTGGGGGGGGGACCAAATAAACCAGGCCCGAAGCTCCTGCCTCTCGGAAGGGACGGCAGGGCCCTGCACGTCGCGTTCCTGCCTTTCTTGCCATCCTGTCTCCTCTGCGACCTTTGGAGGAGCACCCTCCCTTTTTCTGGTCCCCAGACCTCTTTTCCCCACACTCGCTTAGCGCTTTCTCTCCTCCTCGCTCATGTTCACTTGTCACACTGGAGCTTCAGATACTTTCATTTCTCCACTCCGGGAGAAGCTTTCACCTGGTCCAGCCACTTCCTTGGGGCAGCCCGTCCATCTCCTCTGCATTTCCTCTTCCCTCTCTCAACCCCTACACCTTTAAGGCCACCAGAGGTCCCCTGCAGGGGGAAGGCTGCAGGACAGACTCATTTTCCCTCAATAATCCCACATGGATCAACTGTCGAGTTCAGCAGGGCCTCTCTCAGGGAGGCTTTCATCTTTCCTGCTGGACCAGCTCTTGGTGTAGTGAATTGCTGAAGGTTATTACCCTCTGAATGTGTTTCACACAGGCCTCTTCCAAGTGTCAAGGCACGGAAGGTAATTAGCATCCGGAAGTTGTGGCTATGTGTGGGCTGTGGTCTTGCATCAAGCCCCCTCTGTCCTGCTCTGGCAGGACTCAGGCTCCTCCTTCGTAAGAACCAACCAACCAACCGCAGGGGAGGGTTGATGCAGCGAAGGACCCAGATCACCCCATGGAAACAGTAAGGCATGGAGCAGCAGGGGACTGCTCTGGCGCTCCTAAGGCCAAGGGCTGGCTTGCAGGGACATTGTGGTCAAGGCAAGGGACCTCTCTGAGTAGAGCCAAGGGCAGAGGTTGGTCCAGGAGCCCCAGGACTGAACCTTTAGCTGATCGAAGCAAGAAGGCTCTGATGGTGCAGGTCTGGCGAGGAAACCTGAAACCACTCCAGTACTTCAAACGTGGGGAGCAGAACAGGGAGGATGAGCCACGCTGAGGGTAGAAAGGCCAAGAAGCCAGTCAGGGATGAAGCAGCAACCCAAAACGAGGCAATGGCAGGAGCCCAGTGTCCCCTCTGCGGCTGCAGGACACTGAGGATGATGGTATTACACAAACCCTGGAGCCAGGGCCCTCCAGCTCGAGCTAGAACCACAGCAGGGGCTGCTACCAACAGGTGAGACCGCAGGAGGGCCGGGGCTGTCCAGCGGGGACCAGGAACAGCTGTGCAGATGCAGACGTGGCCAGAAAATGTCCTCCCCCACCCAGAGCAGAGAGAAAAGGGGAAATGTCTTGACTTCTCCCTCCCTTTCACACTCCAACCTCCTGCCAAACCTAGACAGACAGCCAGGCAAGGGTGCCTGGGAAACACAGTCTGCAGGAGAAAGGCAGGGGATGGATCCAAAAGCAAGGAGCAATGACCAGGGACAGACAGATGCCAGTAGTTCCTGTACCCTGCTCTGTTCTCCTTCCTGTTTTATAGCATTTTGTTCTGTCCCTTCTCGGCTCCTGTCCTCCCAGGCTGAAGACTCTGTCCCCACAAGGCAGCCTTCTATGTCCACCCTATGGGCTCAATTAATTTTGCAATTCTCCAAACACTTATCTTGCACCAAATATGTGCCAGGCGCTCTGCAGGGCAATGGGAGGGAGGGGACACTGAGGGACATAAGACATAATTCTTGTTCTCGAGGAGTTTGTGATGTGGGGGAGAGGAGAGATGGACATGTGCTCGCTCTCAGGCACGAGAAATGAATAATTCATGTGAGGCCAAAGGAGGAACCGTGCCTGGGGAAACGGGAGAAGCCTTCCTGCAAGAGGTGACATCTGAGCCGGATCTTAGAGGAGAAGGAGCTCATCACGCAGGAAAAAGGCACCCCAGGCAGAGGGGACAGTCTGCCCAAAGGCACCAAGTGGGTGACAGGGTGTGGTGGTTCTTTGGGGACAAAAGAGAGAGGGCAAGGCTGGCTTGGAGGCACATGGGACGAGGGATGGAGATAAGGCCTGCCACGGGGACTAGGTTAAAGGACCTTGGGAGCCACACAGCAGTGAGGAGTCATCGAAGGGGTTTCTTGAGAGCTGTGACATGATTAGGTCTGTCAGGTTCCAGAAAGGTCTCTCTGGCTGCCTACGTGGAGGATGGGTTGGAAGAGGCAGGACCAGAGGTGGGGAGGAGGGTTTGAGAGGTGATTACCACAGTAATCCAGGGAAGAAATGGCCATGCGCAGAGGGCATGGAGAGGAGGACCAGAGGCCAAAAGTGAGCTGTCTTGGGGACAGAGCCCTGTGGGGGACGGTGAGGGATCCAGGTGCCTGACACACGGCCCGTCACTGAGCTTCTGCTGTCTCAGTGCATTTCCAAGGTGGTGCAGAGATCAGGGCTGAGCCCAGAGTCCTGAGGACAGTGCCCCAGAGCTTGTGCACAGAGGGAGGTTGGCCTTTAGATGCCCAGTGCCCTGCCCGGTGGTGCCTGGCCTTGGGGACTCTTTTTGCTGCAGATGTACACTGGGCACAGAGTTCAGAGTTCCCTGCATCATACCAGAGCAAGGTTTGAGTCATTTTCCCCAAATCACTCCCTGTTTCCACCCCTTGGTTCATCTATATTGATGGCCCTCTTCGCCCACTGATTTCTGAGCTGGGCAGCAGAAACCTACTTTCCCCAGAGCCTGTCTGCCAAACTGCAGCCCCTGGTCTGACATTCAATCCCCTAACTCTACCTTTTGTTCCTGATTCTCACCTTTCCCCTTTCTGTCTTAACCTTATATTCTATGAGAATCTGAGATAGTGAGAAAAAAACACAGAAGAACCAAGCACTGGTTCTTTTAGTCAATCCACGTGCAAGTAAACAAATAAAGAGATAAATGTAAGTAGAGATCCTTCATCTCCTACTCCTCAGAGATTATTACCTGAGCCCTTCCAGGGGGCTGAGCTGAGAGCCAGACAGACCCACAGTCTTCATATCCTCTGCACAGTCCTGCACAATTAAAAATCATGCATCTTTTACTGAGTGCTTATTTTGTGCCTAGAATTGTGCAGGATGCTGTGAACATTCAGAAAGGGACAAGGCACACTCCCTGCCCATGAATTAATGCCTTGAGCCTGCGGTCACCAGCCCTTGGACTGGCACCAGCACATGGCCTGTTAGAGACTAGGCCACAGAGTTCTACCTCCCTCCCACCCCGCCCACCCTCCACCATCCATGGAAAAACTGTCTTCCATGAAACTTAGAAACCATTGGAGCGCATAGCAGGAGGTGAGTGGCAGGCGGGGAAGCTTCGTCTGTATTTACAGCCGCTACCCGTGGCTCACATCACCTCCTGAGCTCTGCCTTCCCCCTCCCCAACCCCTGGAGAAACTGTCTTCCATGAAACCAGTCTCCGGTGCCAAAAAGGTTGGAGACTGCTGCCTTAAGCCTTTTACAATCCGGCCCCAGCCCACTGCTCCAGCTCCATCTCTAGCTCCTTCCCACCCCACAGCCTTCACTGTAGTGACATGGAAGGGGCTGGAACTGAGAACTTAAAAACTCCATAGACACAGATGAAGAATGAGGTATTGGACTCATTTGGTTCATTTGGTTCTGCGCAGAGAGAATCACTCTTCTGGACCTAACTCATCAGGCCTTGGTGGCCACCAAGGGCACAGTGAGACTGTCAAGGGGGTACATGATTCAGTAAATGCGTCTTAGGAGCAGGTTTTGTGCAGGCGTTGCAGCAAAGCACCAGGAAGCAGACAGGAAAGGAAAAGACCAATCCACTAAAGGAAGCCGGGTACTGCCAAGAACCCTTGACAGCCCCATGAAGCCAGCTCTTACCCTACTATCCATTCATTCCTTTGTTCAACAAATACATATTGAGCTTCCACTATACACAACCAACACACTGTAATAGGCGCTGGGACTGTGGTGGTGTATAGCATAGACATAATCTCTGCACACAAAGAAATTGGAGTCTAGGGGACAGGCAGGCAAGAACACGTAAAAGATCAGCAGCATTTCCCGGCAGGTGTTATCCCTGGAGCCATGGGCCTCCCTGGTCTGGGACAAGCTCTGCAGATCAATAGGCCTTGGTGTGATTGTTCCAGGCCACACCTCTTGAGAAAGAGGGCCCACTTCATCTGCCCAAGATCTGCTGGGCAGCAGGGCCCTGTCGTCTGGTGTGATCAAACATGATCACAGTGGGTGTGTAGGAGATCCAGGCAGGAGAAGCATCCCATGGTGCTAATCGCACCTCGCCCAGCAATGGACTCACGAAAATGTTTACCGCGCTTGGTCCTGGAAACAGCCTTCCAGACTGCTTTTAATGCATTCTCTCATGGCTGAAATTCCCTGCACAGTCTTATTTCTGCTGAATTATCACCATCTACTGGCCTACACAAAATTTCATCAAGAAAACAGAGCCCAGAGTAACGGGATTTAGTGACCAGTTGACATTGTGGATTTGCAGTTTTCTAGGGAGGCTTAGCAGGGCTGTCACAAGGGGCCTCATTAATTCTCCACACTAAGCCCCAGATGGCTGAGGATTTGGCCTGTTCTTAAAGGCTCCTAGAATGAAATTCCACACTTACCTCCTCTAACTCATTCCTGCACTTAGCACCTCTGGCTGGGCACAGGTCCTACCCCAGGGGTAATCCCAGTTCCTCCTGTTACAGTCAAAGCCCCTTTGATTTGATTGGCATCAGTGGGGCTGGATACACTCACAGGTCATCATTTGACCTCTGCATGTTCTAGCTCAAAAGCCTCCAGGGAGAAAGATGGTCCACAATTCACTTAATGCAATGGTCACAGATGTGCTCTGAGAGGCTCAGGCTTCCCCCAGCTCGGGGGCCAGAGCAAGCTCCAGGTGCACGTCCCACATCCCAGCTGCCTTTCGAAGCAGCCTTGGGAGTGACAGGAGGACACACCTGTTAGAGGGGGAGACGCTGGCTGGTCACCCCCCGAGCACACCTTTCAGTGCGTTGGATGCGTTGTGACTATGCCTGGGGTCTCGCAGATCTGGTTCTCATCTGCAAAATAGGGATGATAATCTCAACCTTAGAAAAGAGTAGGGAAGATGAAGCGAGCTCGTTCTGCAAAGCAACTGGCATAAAATAGACCCCAGTAAAGAGATGTTGTCATCTGCCCCTCTCCCCACTTCCAGGCCTGTCGTCAAAAACCTCAGTGCAACATTCTATGTAACCACAGCCCATTTTGTTCTGGAGGGAGTTCGTGCACAAATTTACATACATATGAAGATCTAAGATAAAATAAACATCTTATTAAGTTAGTATGTATGTCAAGCACATAAATGAGACTAGGGAGGAGATAAGATGAAGCCAACAGTTAATGTAGTATGCAAATTATGTGCTTTATGATTGAACTTTGTATGTACGTATGCATTTTTTTTGAGACATGGTCTTGTTCTGTTACCCAGGCTAAAGTGCAGTAGTGTCATCATAGCCCACCACAACCTCAAACTCCTTGGCAGAAGCCATCCTCCTGCCTCAGTCTCCCAAGTAGCTGGAACTACAGGCTGGTGCCACCACACCCAGCTACTTTTTTTATTTTTTGTAGAGATGGGGTCTTGCTATGTTGCTCGGGCTGGTCTCACACTCCTAGCCTCAAATGATCCTCCTGCTTCAGCCTCCCAAAGTTCTAGGATTACAGGCATGAGCCACTGCATTTGGCTTGTATGTATATTTTTACATGATGGGCCAAACTTCTGACTCAAAAGCTTTCTAGAAGACAAATCAAAGAGGCCATATGTCCGGTTGCTTAATACAGTGCTTGAAAGAGAAAAATAAGTGAGTTCCCAAGAAAAGCACATTTCTGAATGAAAATTTTTTAAATGTATGAGCTCTTCAACCCAGAAATTCCTTTTCTGGGACTCTATCCCTTAGAGGTATTCACGTGTGTGCAAAAAGACACATGTGTGTACAAAGTGGGTTATCACAGTGTGGCTTGGAACAGCAAAATACAAATGAAAGCAAGCTAGATTTCCATCCAACTGGATTAACTGAATAAATTATAGTACATCCAAACTATGAAATACTGCACAATTTTTAAAAGGGTGCTATACTTACCTGGCAGGGAAGATACCATGGTCATGAAGGTGGTCTTCCTAGGGCAAGCTTATCCATTGCACTGGATGTGTCGACCCCTGCAATTTCCCCAGAAAAAAGAAAAGGGGGTGCCATTTTACTTCATGAGTTAAATAAAACAAAGAAATGTTTTAAAAAGGGAAAAGAATGACATAGATCCATGTACTAATATGAAAGAATCTGCATATATTTTAAGAGAAAAAAATTAGATCATATACATGCAGTACATAGAAAAATAACAGCATTCATGTAAAATTGTGTTGTTGTTGTTGCTGTTTTTTTCACGTAACACTGAAACATTTATGTAACACTGATTATCCCTGGGAGGTAGATACTGTGGCAGCGAAAGTCAAAAGAACATTTTTTATTTTTTACTGTATATATTTCTGTATTGTCTTCTGGTAGCAATTAAAGAACAATTAAATAACAACACAGAAATGTCATTTTAAAAGTTGCATGTAATTGGATAGAAGTATTGTATCAATGTTAAATATCCTGAATTTGATCATTGTACTATTGTTGTATAAGAAAACATCCTTATTCTTAGTAGATACTCGCCAAAAATCCTTAGAGGCAAAAGGTTATGATATCCGCAACGTATTCTGAAATAAGCAAAAATTAGCAAAAATAAAAACACCTAAAAGATAAAATAAAACAATAGTAAATGTGTAAGAAAGAGTTAGGATGCAAGTCTCATGATATTAATAATTGGTGAATCCAGGTAAAGAATATATGGCAGTTCATTGTGCAACTCTTGCCATTTTTTCTGAAAGTTTGAGATGTTTTCAAAGTAAAAAGGGTCTCAAAATTTATGCCTGCTGTCTTCCTTTTAGAGCACCCTGCCCTCAAGCACAGCAGGAAAACCCCATTGGTGGATGTTATAGGTCTGTAAGGCAGGAACCAATCATTGCTCTTGATTGAGACTTAAATGCAGTTAAGAAAGTCAAATGAGAGGACTCAGAGGGAGAGGGTGTGTCCTACTGCAAGCGATGTAAATTGGCCTGTCCTTTTGTTAGGGCCTAGGGCCCATAGATAGCCAATAACCAGCCATTAGTTTCTGTATTATGCTTGCTTGCTTGCTTAGGAGAGTGGAAAATTTTCAGTTGACCCTTATCTGACTCCACACCCGCCATCCTGACTCTGCTAGTGTGATTAAGTTTAGAAACTAAGGAGAAGGGTGGTGGTGCATGGCACAACTGCCCACAAAATATAGCCTCTAGGCCAGGGTCAAAGTCTCCTGGACCCCTGAGGCGCCTGACATGCTTCATGTACCCAGTGGAATGCGTTCTGGCTTAGATCACAGGATGCAGGATGTACTCCAACTAAGATTGATGTTGTCTGTAAATTAGGATACTTCAGAAGCATCCTCTCAGCTAAATCTTAGCTGCAGCAGGTGACTCCTACAAAACCCATCGCAAAGCTCCACCCCCCCCATTGTGCTAAAACAAGATAAGATTGTAAGATTAATGCTTTCTCTTGCTTCTGTAAAGGTGCTTGCTAATCAGTTTTAGAGTGTGCTTTTTGCCTTTAAAAGGGGGCGGTTTTCCCCTTCTCATCATTACCTTCTGTGCCTGCCACTCTGCAGGACAGGAGTAGTCCTGGCCGGTAAATAAAGACTCACGATTTGGCCCAATTCAGTTTCTAAAGTGGTCTTTACTCGCACTTCGGACTATAACACTTTGGGTGTCGTTTGTCCTTGGAAGATGGTGATGTGGGTGTCTGTATGCGTTCTTGTCCAAGTTCACAGGAGATTAAAAGCAGACTGTGTCATGCTTGAAGTTCTGACTCGAGGGGGGAGGGGGAGCATGGGCAATATACATAGCCTTAACATTTGTACACCCATAATGTGCTACAATTAAAAAAAAAATAAAAATAAAAGCAGTCCATGGTAGGAGGACACAGAGTTCATATATCTCCTGCACTTCACCCTGGAGGAAGAATGAGAAGGAGAAGGAAGAGCAGGCACAGGGGGAGGAAGGGGACTGGTTGCACTAGATGATATTTTTTAACAAAAGATTTTCACTATTGGTGTTCTGTGCACAGTTTTATCTAAACCTAAAATACACCGACTTTTGGGGAAATGAGTTGTCAAACGATGGAGATTACCCTGCTGGGTCTGTACTAGTTCTGACCACACATCTGAAGGGATAGATGTTTCTACATCAAGCATCCCGGGAGGAGGTTAATCCGGATGTTATCCAGATTTGGATTTGAGTCACAATAATTTGAATATACGCAGAAAGCATCACTTTGCTCTGGTGGATTATCCTCATAGGTTAATTTTTAATTGAAACTAGCATGACTTGAATAAGAGTGGGTTTTAAGGTGCTTCTAAAGGGCCGCAGTGACAGGGAACAAAGACCCAAAGCACCAGGGATAACTAAAAATCCAGGACTCAGAGGGAGAGCTCCAGCCGGGTAGCAGTTCACCAAACTAATGAGGCTTGAGTGCCATCTAGTGGCCAGAGTTTAGAAGGCTAAAAAGGAAAGAGTTCAAAAGCCATTCAAGGTCTGTAGCGTTCATTGCGCCCCTGTTGTGTGCCAGGCACGGATTTAGGCATAGCAGATACAACAGCGAACAAAACAGGCTAAGTCCTGTGTTCAGGGAGCTAACTTTCTATTGCCAGGTGGAGGTGACAGAAAATAAACAAATAAACAAGTCTGCATTGTCAGGAGACAAGTGTCCTGCAGGAAAATAAAGCAGAGAGTCGAGGTATTGCTTTGTAGAAGGTTGGGTAGCAAACCTCTGGCTATATGGAGAAAATCATTCCGAAAGGATGGAAAGGCCAGTGCAAAGGCCCTGAGGTGAGCTTATTCTTGGCGAGTTCAAGGCATAGGAAGGAGACCAGTAGGACCCACAGCAGAATGTGGCAGGGGGACTAGGGTGGAGGTGATGCCAGAGAGATGCCAGGGGACAGATCCTGAAGGGCCTCTTGAGCCATTGGGAGGACTGAAGTTTTTACTCGGAGAGAGATGGGGAGGATTGGGAGGTTTTGGAGAAGTGACCTGACCTAATTTACATGTCCCTGGATTATTCAGGCTGCTGGACTGAGAGTAGAGGGTAAAGGGGCAACGTCAGGGGAAGTCAGGAGGTTTCCACAGCGATCCCAGTGACAGTGGGCGGTGGGCTGACACAGACAAGGGTCAATATCAGCAGGCCGTGGTGAGAAGGGTCAGGTTCCCCACCCACCTAAAAGACAGCGTGGGCCGGACTTGCTGAGAGATTGAGCGTGAGGTTTGGGAGAGAGGAGACACAGATGACCCGATGTTTTGGACCCAGCTTTCATTTGCTGCGGTGAAGAGTCTGTGAGCGGGGCAGGCTGTAGGGGAGGAGGGCGGGTGGGGTTCAGTGGGAGGCAGGGCCACACGCCCGAGGGGACGGGTTGGGTAAGGGTCTGGAGATCAGAGGTACACATGTCAGCCCACGCAGGGCATCCAAAGTCACAGACTGGAGGAGGGAGGGAGTGTAGCCGGAGGACAGGAGGGATCTGGGGACAGAGCTGGCCACAGCCCCTTCAGTGCAGGAAGTGCAATCAAATCCCAAATCAAATCTCCCTCCCTCCATCCTCGGGGAAATTCAGGCTAAAACAACAGGAAGGCTTCTTTCCCTGTAGGAGACTGGCATCGGAGATTGTGCCTCCTCCACGTTGGCCAGAGGGGGGCAGTGTCCCTCTGCTGCTTGATGTGAATGGGATCATGGTCTTTTTGAAGGGTGGTCTGAAAGGGTGTGTGTGCACGCGTGCGTGCTTGTGTGTGCAAGAACATACAAAGTACAGGGAACACGCATAACCTCTCTGGAGGGCCTGGGACTGGGAAGGTCGAGGAGCAATGTCTGTATTGCTTGGCGTTTTAACAATGAAACTGTATCTACATATGCCTGCAAGATTAAAATTAACAGTAATATTTAAATTACTCCTTCATTAATTATATTACCTGAATAGTCATGTTGTGCAAAGCACCGAGCTACTTTTCTAGATGCCAGAAAAGCAAGACACAGCTACCTGCCTCCAAGGAACTCACGATGCTAAAAGAAGGAGAAGGTAACTGACATGTATGGACCCTCTGCTATGTACATCCAGGTCCCATACAGGGCACATTCATATTTGTTCATTTAACCCTCGCAAGGACTTTGGGACTTGGCTGTCCTTTCCTCACCGTAAAGACAAAATACAGAGAGGCAGGTTTTGTCCAAGGTCACAGTCAACAAGTGCCAGAGCCAGCATCAGAACCCAGACCCTCCAGCCGCCAAGCCCTCGGGCTTGCACTGAGCTATCTGGCCTCCAGGGACAGATGACTGAACTTGCAAGGTATCTAGGAATGTGTGGTGGGAGGGGTTGGCTCTAAAAGAATGAGTAAGATTTTGGGAGGCAAAATTGAAAAAAAAAAAAAAAGAAGAAGGAGGAGGTTAGGATAATTCAACTTGTGTTAAGCACCTACCTAGCGCTCTAGCAGTTGTGCCTATTGCATTCGAGTGCATTATTTGGTTTTATATCCTATGAAGTAGCTATTATTGCCCCATTTTACAGATGTAGATACTGAGACCTAGCAAGTTAAATGACTTCTCCACGACTGCAAAACTGCTGAAGGCAGAACTGCACCATCTGACTCCAAAGCCCATGTTCCTTCCCTCCAAATCCTGCTGACCTAGAACTAAATAGAGTGGACTGGAAGAGGAAGGGTCTTTGGCCGCTGACCTGCTACGGGATCCGAGCAGGTTCCCCTTGCTTCTCTGGGCCTCCACATGCCCTTTCACTGGCCTTCCTTCTTGACATGCCTGAAATTAACAGCTTAGTCCAGGAGTCCCAGGCTTCATATCAGACAACTCAGAGGCACACAAGCTCATATGTTCATGCCCGCAGGCCAGAAACACCCAAGTGAACTGTGGGCTGGTGATTGGGCAGCTAAGGATTCTGCTTGGCTGGGGTGGTGCCAGGGACGTGCACTGAGGAAGCATATTTTCTGCTATTGTTCTGCTTCCTTGGCTTCCCTCTGCCTGGCCTGGGCCTCCAGACCCAGAGTCACACACTCGGAATCCAGGAACCACAGACACCATTCTCCTAAGTGAAGTATCTCAAGAATGGAAAAACAAACACCACGTGTGCTCACTATTACATTGGAACCAACCAATGAGCACACGAGTGCACACAGGGAGGTAAATCTCAGTGGAGAGCAACCGGAGGAGAGGGGGCAGGAAGAGAAGGGAATAAACCAATCTAATCAGTACTATGAACACTATTTGGGCACACCTACAGCCAGGACTCAAGCATTACAATAATGATCCAGGTAACCTAAACCTTAATAGTTTGAAATTAAAAGAAAAGAATTCTAGGAGCCCCCTTGTGACGTAATAAAACAAGTATTTGGTCTTTGTCCCCAGTTCCTGGCACCTAACTCCTAAAACTCCTGGAATCCCCAGAGTGATGAGTGTCCTCTGTATGCTGCTGAGATGTCTGGTGGCTGGAGGCCCCCAGATGCCTTCGGGATGCAGCTGGTCATCAGAAAGTCCAAGGCAGGAGGAGAGGTTGGAACGTTCAGCCCCACCTCCCAACCTCCATGGAGGGGAGAGGGGCTGAAGGTTGAGCTGATCACCCATGGCTAGTGATTTAATCAGTCTTGCCTACAAAATGAAACCTCCCTAAGAACTCCTAAGGTTTGGTTTGTTTGGGGTTTACAGAGCTTCCTGGTAGGGAACACAGGAAGGTGCGGGGAGGGTGGTTGCTGTGCCCAGAGGGGGCAAGGAAGCTCTGTCCCCCATCCAGCCTTGCCCTGGGCAGCTCTTCCCTTTGGCTGTTCCTGAGTTGTGTCCTTTATCATAAATGCTTTCCTGAGTCCTGTGAGTTGTTCTAGCAAATTATCGAATCTGAGGGGGGCTGTAGGAACCCCTGAATTGGTCACCAAGTTATTTGGTGCAAGTGGTCTGGGAACCCCATTTGCAACTCACATGTGAAGTGAGGGCAGTTTTGCGAGACTGAGCCCATAAACCTGTGGGGTCTGACGCCAGCTCCAGGCAGTTAGTGTCAGAATTGAATTGAACTGTAGCACATCCGGTTGGTGTCCGAAGAGTTGGCGTCAGAACTGGTTGGTGTCAGGAGAGGGAAGAAAGCCCACACACCCCTCCCCCAGGACATTCCTCCCACCACACGGGGTCTCAGGGTCTTTCATGGAGTACTCAGATCCCTCTGGTCGTCCCAGCTTTTAGTGCCGGACTTTCTTCTTCTGGTTAAGTCTGATATTAGAATGTCCTACAATGGGTTTATCAGCCATTTAAAAACACTAACATTTATCTAATATATTTAATAATTATGAAGAGCTTTTATTGAATTTGAGCTTCTTGGCAAGCCTATGATGTCCCATTTAATAGATAAGCAAACTGAGGCTCAGAGAAGTGAATCAGCCACACAAGCAGTGAGTGGCCATGCAGCCACAGAACAGAGTCGTAGCCCCTCCTCCCATAGATATGGAAAGGTAAAATTGAAAGTGGGGAATATGTAGCAGGGAATGGACTGCAGGGGGGGGGCAGCAAAAATATTTTCTGTCTCTTTAAAACTTCCTCCACTCTTTCTGAAAACTGAAACCTGCCTCCATGCCTCAGGCCAGTGGTAGACAGGGACAGGGAGAAGGCCATTTGTTCCTGTCCCAGGTGTCACCAGCCCCCCCAGGTGGGCAGCTGGCAGAGTTCACAGGCTTTGTGTTTGGCAGAGATGGGAAGGTTACCATAGTTAACCACATTAACCTAGAATTAAGGGGCTCTGCCTTTAAAAGCTCTGTATTTCTGCCTGTGTGCAGGAAAAATTGGATTCGGAGACGATATTCTGTCTTTTCCCTCCTTTACTGGAAAAGTAAGAAATCTTTTTCCTTCTCAGACTAATTGTCCTCGTTCTTCTGATTCAGCCTCGTGGGCAAGTGCTGAGCTTTTGGTAACAGCCATGGGCTGCAGCCTGGGCTCTGGCAGCCCAGGTCAAGCCAATGCCTCTCCAGACGCCCCTGGTGCTATTTATTACACAACAGCAAATCAGTTGGGTAATGTCACTCCTCAACCTGGAGACCTCATCCTAGACTCAGCCTCTGCCTTGGATCTTCTGCCCATCCTTGCTCCAGAGCAGAACCCAGGCCAGACTCACCGCAGGGTCTCCAGGTGACAGCGAGGATGACTTAGGGTCTCACAAAGATGAGCACTGCTGAGCGGCTCAGCGAGTTTCCACTTAGGTTCAGCTCCTTCAGGGTTCCGGAGACCTCGAGAACGGAGAAGAGAACCAGCCAACTGGCATCTGTGACCAGGGCCCGTGTGAAGCTGAGAGAGAGAGAGAGGGACGGGAGAGATGTGATCTGTGTGGGGGGGTCTGATGTGCACAGCCCTGCACTACACAGTGGGGGTTCTGTCCCCCTGAGCACCAGGCCACAGTGCGCAGTGCCATCCCTGGGACTGGCCAGGCTCCCCGCCAGGCCCTCTGCCCCTGCCACCCTGGGCTGGGAGCTACTGCTCTGTGTGGCTCCTCATTCCACAGCCCTTACCATACCATGCTGAAGCGTTCATGCTGTGTGTCTGTTTCCTGATGTGTCTTGAAGGCAGGGGCAGATACTTGTCATCCCTATTATCTGCAGTGCACAGCATGGGGCCTGGCACAGAGCAGGAGCTTGGTGATGTGGACAGCCTTCCTCTCTTTGATGCAGACACACCTGTCTTCCTTTGGCACAGATGTTCTGTATTCCCAGTGCCCAGAAAGGAGAGGAGCAGATGGGAGGTGGGCACAGAGGCTGGGAGAGGTGATCTGAGGGTGACTTTATGCTGCAAGGTTGTGTGTGATCATATATATACTGCTGTCTAGGTTGGCTTGCATGGGACCCTGTCCCCTTCCACGGATAGCAAGACCATAGAGAGGGTTTGCAGGAGAGGGGTGGCTAAGGGAACATCCTAGGGGAGAATATTCACGGCCTGGTGGGGAGAGCATGATGGACTTGGTCTGACAGTGTAGAGTAGACTCTGTCTTGTATAGTTTCTACCCATTTAATTTCTCCATTTTCATGCACCGCTTCTACAAAAGAGGAAGAAAGTGGGGGCCCAGCTCCCCAAGGCCTGGCTTTGCAGGCATAAGGTGGGGCTGTTCTGCTTTCAGGAGGAAATGTTTACTAGCTGCGTGTCTGGCTGCTCACAAAGCACAGGGACCCCTGAGCCTGAGACAAACACTTCAGTGCCCCTCGGAGCATGGAAGGAGGAGCTTTGGGGCTCAGAAAGCCCCCAAAACCATGAAAGGCTGGGAAGGGTGTTCCCTGGCCCAGGTCTAATGTTTCCCCCTGGTAGACACAGGGGCCCCACCCATCCCGAGTTCCTGGGCCTGGGCCCCACACCCGAGTGCCAGGAAAGTCTGCGCCCTGTGGGCAGGCTCTGGGTGCTGGGCTGGCGGAGGCCTGTATGAACATGCATGTACTGTATGGTCTGCCCCCGCTGCAGCAACAGCCTGTCTGGGCCTGAGCCACTTGCAACACCTCCTCTGGCCACACCTGCCATGGGTTTCCTCTTGGTGACATTTCCTTCCTGCTCTGCCTGTCTAGGATGAGGGATTGGTCCTTGTATTCATCAAATATTCATTGCGCCCCTCTCTGCCTATGCACTGTGCCAGGGCTACTGCGGTAAACAAACGGGGACAGGATTTTGTTTTCTCACGGAGTTTGCAAGAGACTGGCATTAATCCAGGAACCATACTAACAAATATATAATAAATTTATAATAACAAGGAACTATACTAACAAATTTATAATATAAGTTTTCTCCACTGGAACCCAAATAAGGACTCCAATGGAAAAAATGTCCTTGAGGAAGTGAAGCTTAAAAGAGATCTGAAGAACACAGAGGATTTAACTAAGGGCAGCAGGAGGGAGAAAGTTTTAGGCAGAAGGAACAGCAGGTGCAAATGTACCAAGGCCCTGTGGCAGGAGGGAGGACGAGGCAGCCCAGGAAGGGAAGCAGGCCTGTGTGTCTGGAGGGCAGAGAGCAAAGGGTAAGATGAGGCTACAGAGATCAGCAGGAACCAGACCAGGCAGGGCCAGTGGGTCTTATTGGGATTAGGGGTCTTTTCCTGATGCAGTGAGGTTTTAAGCATAAAATTGGCAAGATCAGGACATTTCCAACATAGAAACTGGCTGCTATGCAAAAAAATGTATGGAAAGGGTACAACGGTAGATGTTGGGAAACCAGTTAGTGTGAAAATTGCAGTAATTTCCATAAAGATGGTGATATCTTAGACTAAGGAAAATGACAGTAGTTTCAGTAAGAGACAGTAATCACTTAGACTGTGGTACTGGGCATTAAGATGGAAAGAAGTGACAGGATTCAAAAGATGTATAAAAGTAAAATAACTGGGCTCAGTAGGGGATTGGATTTACAGAGAAAGGGAGAGGGAGATATGAAGGACAAGCTGGCAGCTTCACTGAGATGGGGAATACTGAAAGAGGTGTGGCTGGGGGCTGGGGTGTCATGAGTGTGATCTTGGCTTGCTGGTCTCAAGGTCCTTTGTGGTATCTAAATGGCCATGCCAAGCAGGCATCAAATAAAGCTTATGCAAATATAAGGCTCCCCCACAAAGCACATATCAACAAATTTGAAAAAATTAAAATTATATAAAGTGATCTAATTTTATTTCTGTGATCATGATGAAATAAAATTAGAAATCAACAACTGAAGTAAGTTTGGGGAATTCACAAAGACACTGAACAAAATGGGAAGCATCAATTTACCAGACTTCAAACTATACTACAAGGCTATAGTCATTAAAACAACTTGGGATTGGCACAAGAACAGGGACACTGACCAGTAGAACAGAACATAGAACTCAGATATAAAACCATGCTCATATTGCCATCTAATCTTTGACAAAGCAGACAAAACATGCACTGGGGAAAATAATTCTTATTCAATAAATGGTGCTGGGAAAACTGGATAGCCACATGTGGAAGACTGAAATAGGATTCATACATTTCACCTCTCACAAAAATCAACTCACGCTGGGTAACAGACTTAAACCTAAGGTGTGAAACTATTAGAATTCTAGAGGAAAACATTGGAAATACTCTTCTAGACATTGGCCTAGGCAAAGAATTTAAGAGGAAGACCCCAAAGGCAATCACAGCATCAACAAAAATAAATAAATGGGACCTGATCAAATTAAAAAGCTTCTGCACAGCCAAAGAACTGTCACGAGAGCAAACAGACAACCTATGGAATGGGAGAACATTTTCACAAGCTACACATCCAATAAAGGGCTGATAACTAGAATCTATTTAGAACTCAGGAAAATCAGCAAGGAAAAATCAAACAACCCCATCAAAAAGTGGGCAAAGGACATGAACAGAAACTTTCCAAAAGAAGACAGAAGAATGGCCAACAGACATATGAAAAAATGTTCAACATCTCTATTCATCAGGGAAATGCAAATCAAAACCATAATAAGATATCACTTATCTCCAGTGAGAATGGCCTTTATTAAAAAGTCCCAAAACAATAAATGTTGGTGTGGATATGGAGAGATTGGAACACTCCTAAATTGCTGGTGAGACTGAAATCTAGTTCAACCTCTGTGGAAAGCAATATGGAGATATCTTAAAGGGATACAAGTAGATCTACTATTTGATCCAGCAATCCCATTACTGGATATCTACCCCAAAGAATAAAAGACATTCTGTAAAAAAAGACACCTGCGTTCGAATGTTTATAGCAGCACAATTCACAATTTCAAAGATGTGGAAACAACCCAAGTGCCCATCAATACATGAGTGGATTAATAAAATGTGGTATATGTATACAGTGGAGTACTATTCAGCTATAAGAAACAGTGGTGACATAGCACCTGTTGTATTTTCCTAAATAGAGCTGGAACCCATTCTATGAAGTGAAGTATCCCAAGAATGGAAAAATAAGCACCACACGTACTCACCAGCAAATTGGTTTCACTGAACAACACCTAAGTGAACACACAGAAATAACTTTTATCAGGGGTCAGGCAGATGGGAGGGGGGAGGTGGGAATAGGTATATACATACATAATAAGTGCGATGTGCACCATCTGTGGGATGGACACACTTGAAGCTCTGAAACTGGGGGGGAAGGTGGGGAAGGGAACACATGTAACCTAAACATTTGTACCCCAATAATATGCTTAAATAAAAAATTAAAAATTAAAAAAGAGGATTAAAAGAAAAGAAAAAGAAATAAAGTCTGCTTTATAAAGAAAGAAAGAAATAACAGAAGGAAGAAAAAAAAGAAAGGATAAGATAAGAGAAAAAAAGACCTTAAATCAATAGCCTAAGCTTCCACTTTAAGTAATTTATTTTAAAAGCAAATGAAATGAAAAGCAAACATAAGGAAATAATATAGACTACAGTGGAAATAAATTAAATATAAAGTAGAAACAATATATAAAATCAATGAAACCAAATTTGATTCTTTGAAAAATCAACAAAATTTACAAATTTTAGCTAGACTAAGATAAAGAGAGATGAGGTTCAAATTACTAAAATCAGGAATGATAGAGGGGGCATCACAACTGACCTTACAGAAATAAAAAGGACTAAAAGAGAATATCATGAAATATTATAAGCCAACAAATTAGATAACTTAGGTAAAATGGGCCAATTTCTACAAAGACACAAACTACCTAAACTGACTCAAGAAGAAATACAATATTCAAAGAGACTTATGACAAGTAAAGACACCGAATCACTAAACAAAATCATTCTATAAAAGAAAGTCTAGCTTAGAATTCACTGGTGAATTCTACCAAACATTTAAAGAAACTTACCTTCTGAAATTCTTCCAAAAATAGAAGAAAGGGGAACACTTGCCAATTTCATTCTATGAAACCAGTATTACCCTAATACAAAAATCAGACAAAGACAACCAAAGACACCACAAGAGGAAAAAACCCTATAGACCAAATCCCATATGCAAAAATCGTCAACAAAATACTAGCAACATATAAAAAGGATTGTATACTATGACCAAGTAGGATTTATCTCAGGAATATAAAATTTTTTAACCTAGGAAAATCAATCAATGCAATGTACTAAGTTATTAATAATAGAATAAAGGATAAAAACCACATGACTATCACAATAGACACAGAAAAAAGCACTAAACAAAACCCAATAACTTCTCACATTGAAAACATTCTGAAAGATAGGAATCAAAGGGAATTTTATCAACCTGATAAAGGTCACCTATGAAAAACCCACACCTAATATCATACTTCATGGTGAATGACAGAATCCTTTCCCCTTAAAAACACAAATAAGACTGAGACGTCTGTTCTGGTCACTTCTATTCAACATGGTGCTCAAGAATCTTCATCCAGCATAATTAGGCAAGAAAATAAAATCAAAGTTTTCCTGATTGGAACAAAAAAGAAATTAAACTATCTCTATTTACAGATGACATAATGTTGTTTATAGAAAATCCTAAGGAATCCACAAACATAACTATTAGAACTAGCAAACAAATTCAGCAAGTGTTAGGAAACTAGATAAATACATAAAAAGTAATCATACTTCTATATACTAGCAATAAACAACCCCAAAATTAAATTAGAAAAACAACTCCACTCACAATACCATCAAAAAGAATAAAATACTTAGAAATAAAATTTAACAAAAGAAGAACAAGACGTGCACACTGAAAAGTACAAAACACAGTTGAAAGAAGTTAAATGAAACCTAAATAAATGGAAAGATATCCCATGTTCATGGATTGGAAGACTTAATATTGTTAAAATGACAATATCACCAAATTAATCTACAGATTCAAAGTAATCCCGATCAAAAATCCCAGCTGCATTTTGTGCATAAATGAACAAGCTGATCCTAAAATTCATATGCAAAGAGAAGATTGCATGTAAAGAAAGCCTCAGGGAATCCCTCCACTCCCCATGTTTAACAATCAATCAAAGAAGAGCCAACAAAGAAGCCCAAGAAGGAGCAGCCAGGTGGGGGACAGGGACACCAAGACAGTGTGGTGTCATGGAACCCAACAGAGGAAAGGGTTGGTTTCAAGGAGGATGGGTCAGCAGGGACCACTGCTGCTGGGAGGTCAAATAAGATAAGAACTGAAATCTGTTTCCTGGTGAGTCAGGAGAGTCAGGAGAAAGGAGAGTCAGCTTTTGTGGTTTCAAAAGGCCAGAATGCAAACTGGAATGGATTGAAGAGGCACATAAGTAAAAAAAAAAAAAAAATAGACTGCAAATACAAACACGTCCTTCAAAGACTTTTGTAGGGAAAGGGAGAAGCGTCCAAAAGCAGAGGGGTATGTTGGGCCAACTAACCTGCATCTCCCCATTTCCTCCCTGTCCTCACCCCAGTAACCACCATTATACCCTATGTATTTTATTTCTTTTAGTTTCCACATACAAGTGAGATCATGCACTATTTCTAACTCTCTCTGTCTGGCTTATTTCACATTTGGATTTCTTGGAAGCACCTTGTGCAATGGGCACAGAAAATTCATGCTATTGATTAGTAAACTGAAACTTGATGAAGAAACCTGCCTATAGTCTGTAACTTGTAACTGACAGGGGAGGGATTTGAACCCATCTCTGTCTGTCACCAAAGCCTCTGCCCTTCGCCAGCCCACTCCACCCACCAGAGTCAAGTGGCTTCAGGCTCCTCAATGAGGTCAAGGTCAAGTGTCCTCAGTGGGGGGTGGGGGAGAGGTTGGGATTTGAGGAAGAGGAATCCACACAGCACAGCTTATAATGGCTACTCGCTTGGTGAGGAATAGAGCCCCAAGAAAGGCACATTTGTTTATGCTGAGGTGAGTCCTCAGGGCAGGAACATGCCCAAGGAAGGTGGGAAGATCAACAAGCAGGAAACCAGATAACCCAGAGGGCCACAACCTGCCATCCAGGGAGGGTGGGGGCTGGCAGGACACAGATGTCTGGGAAGGGGCCCTAAAGTGTGAGATGCACAGGTGGTGATCTACCAGCCGGATCCCCGACTTTCTTGGGCCACTCTCTGCAGCTCAGGGTTGGGAGCACGGACATAAGAAAAGGCCAGGGGCACTCTAAAATGGCAAGTGCTGGAATCTGTCTTTAATACAACTGACCTTGGACTCCCAGATGGGTAGGACAGTCAAAACAGGTGTTGTGAAAGCCGGAGACACGGGGATTTTAGACAGGCAGGGCTCTTTGATGTCAAACCAGGCCTCCTCCCTCCTCACACATAGGCCCTGCCACAACCATGTCCAATGTCCCCTCCCATGGTGCCTGCCAAGCCTCCATCTGCAGCCCAGACCCAAACCAAATGCCTTCCTCTGGGAGGTCCCAGAGCCTCCTCAAACTCAGCACGTTCTAAACTAGGCTCTCCCCCAACTAAAGAACACCTGCTCCTCCTCTCAGGGCCAATGACATCAATTTCAGGACCCAGCACAAGAAGAAAATGCAGTGCCCTTGCTCAAAACTCAGGAGGAAAGTGACATGAAAGGTACTAAGATATAAAGCTTTCTTCTTTCTTCCATAGTTTCTCTCCCAACCTGCCTGGCGTTTTTTATTTGCTATTTAATGTTGCACTCCCTCAGGCAGTGGGACACTAGCAGAGTGTGTGCAGACGCTGGCAGGTGCCATGCGCACATGGATGCCAGGTGCCACCCGCACTAGCCACCAGACCCACGGCCTGTGCCCCAAAGTGGGTGGAAAATACCCTGTGGATTTGGGTGATGGTGAAGGGGAGATACCTGGCCTTTCTAGCCCAGATCGAGGACAGCTGCCACCATACCGTACACCAAGATGCCCCAGCCCAACCTCCCCAGCCTCACAGCAGGTGGTGGAGGTCACTGGGCTGAGGGGAAGGCTGGGTAGGGGCCCCACACCAGGAGGCAGGCAAGTGAGTGGCCAAGACTGCTTCCTGTGGGGGAAACGAGGGAGGTGACAGGAGATCACACATGAAGCAAGGTTCCATCGTCCCATCAGACTTCACTCACAAGACGCAAATCCAAACACAAAATTAAGAAATTCGAGGTGGTGGCAGCCACAGAGCCTTAAGCCCCTGTCACAGGCCCTTCCCAGTGCACAGCCCTGAGCGACTGTGCGACTGCCTGGTCATCTGCCCTTGAAGCCGATCCTGCCTCTCCCGTCTGCTCTCTCAGTGAGTGGCAGCAGCTTCAACTCCACATCCTTTTGAGCAAAGACCTGAAGCAGGTGGCAGAGTGAACCATGAGATCACAGGCAAGAAGATTGTTCCAGACAGAAGAAACAGCAGTGCAAAGGCCCTGGGGTGGGACAGGAGGCCAATGGGGATAGAGTTAAAAGAAATTACAGATGAGGACAGAAGGGACAAGGATCCAGGTCCCCAGGGCCCTGTAGATCAGGACATGGACCTTGAATTTTGCTCTGAGTGACGTCAGAAAACACAGGAAGGTTTTGATTTAAAAAAGATCTCAAACTGACTGACTGTTATTTGTTTCTATGTCTGTCCCCAGTAGCCTGTGCACTTCTGGAATCCAGGGGGGAGGTTCTTGTTGACCTTCACCTGGCCCATAGGCTTGGCCCACAGTTGGTGATCAATGGTGCTTGTGGATATCTATGGAATCAAGGGATTAGGAAACTCAAGACCATGGGTGTGTGTCTCCCACAGGTTGTCCAGCTGTGGCCTCACGGCCGAGGACTGCAAGGACCTTGCCTTTGGGCTGAGCGCCAGCCAGACCCTGACCGAGCTGGACCTGAGCTTCAACGCACTCACAGATGCAGGAGCCGAGCACCTCTGCCAGGGGCTGAGACCGCTGAGCTGCAGGCTGCAGCGACTGCGGTAATTGTGCCTGGGGTGACACTGCCTTGTGGGGAGGGCACAGGAGGTGGGGAGACCTGCCTGCCTCTGTGGGGCAGGCCGAGAGGAGGGGCACAGAGGTGAGACCTTCTCTGGGGGGAGGAAGGAGCCTGCAGAATGTCAGCCAGGCTGTGGGGGTCAGGAGGAAGCTGGCCCACACCTGGGCTGAGGGAGGTGGCTTCCGGCCTCCAAATGCACCAGGAGCATCCAAGTCCCAGTGTACACACACTTTCCAAGCCCCTCTTTGAGTCACGTTTGCTATTGTCCCATTGGCCAAAGCAAGGCCTATGATGGCCATGCTAAGATTCTGGGGGGAGCGAAATACACTAAACCTCTTCATGGGAGGACACAACACAGGGGCGAGGACACAGGTGGGGGTTGGGGGAGACTCTGTGGCCATGTTCATAGTCTACCACCGAGGGCGATGACAACAGTACCAACTTCACAGACTTTTGAGGATTAATGGGTCAGGTGCTTAGAACAGTGCGTGCTGCCGCTCTCCTGTTCTCGCCAGCTGTGGTCTGCCTAGTAACACATCTGCCTGCCTGGCACGGCGCTCCGTCTGGGAGCTGAAACCATTGGCATCCACTTACTTCAGTCTTCTACCTCATCCAAGTGGGCAGAGCCATGACCGATATAGAAACAAGTGGATTATTCACCTCTCTGAGGGCTCCCAGGATCCTCTCCCGGGTGTCCCCTGCTCTGATGCACAAAGTGGCACACACGGCCCTCTGCTCACCCCCTCAGAGGGCTGCCATGAGGGTCTCCTTTTGTTTCTGCCTTAGAGACCCTTGTTCACAGCCCTGGTCCTACCTTGCACTTCCCTCACTTTATCCCAAGGCCAAACTTCTCCCCTTCCCAGGGAGGGGCCATTGCCTGTTTCCCCTCAGTAACCCTGAACCAAGAGTGGATGGGATGGGGGACAGAAAAGAGAGGCAGCTGGGACTCCCTACTACTATCAGGGGTCAGTGATCCCTGGAAGGCTAGGAACTTGGGAGTTCCTGTGAGATTCATCCTTGCTACTACCGATGGCAAGATGAGGTCTCAGACAGATTAAATTACTTTCCCAAGGTCACGTAGCCAGGAAGCAGCAGCACCAGGACGTGAAGCCAGGTCTGATGCCTGGTTTCCCACTTTCTCAGGCCTGGCTCTTAGCCAGGACCCTGTGAGGGCTGCGTGACATGTCACCAGCTTGGACTGCAGATAGGGTCCTGAGCTTTCTACTGGGGGCTGAGAAGACCCAGCTGTGGGAGCCGAAGGTTCTAGAAGCATGGCTGAGCCCCCAAGAGCAGAGGACCCTGAGACAGTCTGTCCCCAGAGACAGCCTACGTACACGCAGAGTACATCAGACACACAGCCCTTTCCTTGCATAAACGGTCACACACCACAGACATTGTCCTGTACCTTGCTTTATCCTGGAGATGCGGCCCCATTGTACGTGCAAATGCTTCATCTCTTTTTAATGGCAGCACGAATTCACTATCTGTGTTTACCATACCTGCATCTTAATCAGAACCTTTTCTAAGGCATATCTCTTCTCCAGTCGTTGTCGTCCATAAACAGCTGCAGTCTAACATCCCCTCACAAGGAATCTCTGTAGCCAAATTCTGAAGATAGAATTGCTGGGGTGAGAGGATTATGTTGCATTGCTAAATTGTGCCTGTAGAGCAGGTTGGCTAATCAAGGGGTACAATGTTTTCCAGGATTAAAGATGAGACACAATGAGCCTCCTCCCAACCACCCCGATGTTCAGTCCCTGCCAGTGTGCTATCTTCTGCTAACCCGGGGGGGGGGGTTTACAGAGCGGGGGTGGAGCCGACTGTATCCGCGAAAGAGTGTAGGACGAGATTGGCCTTTCACTCCTGCCTCATCTCCTGTGTGAGCCGGTCCCATCCTTCTCCTGCTCGTTCTTTCATGAACAGTCGACGGACCAGGCTGCCCTAGAACTCAGGCTGTCCCCTAGGCCCAGCAGCAACAGGCCAACAGGCCCCACGTCAACTCCCTGTGGCTCAGCCACATGACATCGCAGAGGTATCCACCCAGATAGACAAGGTGGGGCCTACGGAGGCTGCAGCCACTGCTCAGCACAGTGTGCAGCGGTGCCAGTCACGGCCCTTGTCCTGGGACAGGCCACATTCCAGACCAGCAGTGTAATGGGAGCCCAGGACTAGGTCCTCAGTTCTACTGAAGCCCACATTACTCCCCTTCCACCTTCCATTCCTCTCTTACCACTCATTTTTCTCCTGGACTGCAGAGGATGCCCTTAATACGAGACCCACCAGAGCCCACCCTATGGCAGCTGACTCTGGGGTGTTGGGCAAGCTGGATGCTGATTAAGTTAGACAGGTATAAAGTGGAACATCAGGGTAAATCATTCCTAAAGGCTGATACTAGGGACGGTGGGCAGATACATAGAATCACAAGAAGTGAGCAAAGGGAAGCGTGCCTGAATCCTGGAGGGGCTCTTTGGCTGCAAGAGGAAAGTTTTTATCTTCCCTTAATGTCACTGCAGGGCCCCCAAAGGGCCATAGCTACAGGAAAGGGAGGCCAGACCCCAGTTACCCAGGAGAGTGAGCCCTCAGGACAGTGGCTGTGGGCCCACGTCTCTCTCCTGCAGGCTGGTCAGCTGTGGCCTCACATCCAGCTGCTGCCAGGACCTGGCCTCTGTGCTCAGCACCAGCCCCAGCCTGATGGAGCTCGACCTGCAGGAGAACGACCTGGGAGACCTTGGCGTGAGGCTGCTCTGCGAGGGGGTGTGGCATCCCGCCTGCCGACTCAGGCTCCTGGGGTAAGGCCCTGTGGGGCCCTTCTGAGCAGAGGGCAGGGAAGGGAGAGTGGTAGGGTGGAGGGGGATTGGATAAAGGAAGGAAGAGGGACTGATAAATGCATAGTCTGCCTGGGTTTCTTATCAGCTCTGCCACCTACTTACACGTGCAACTCGGGCAAGACACTGTCTTCCCTGAGACTCAGATTCTCCATCTGTGTAATGGGAGTATCACACCCACTTCATGGACTATAATCAAATAAAATGTATTTAGGAACAAGGACAGTGCTGGGAAGAGAGTTAGGCATGATCAAATGATAACTACTAGCGAGGCTGTGTGTTCTAAGGGACTCCTAGCTTCTCTCCACTCCAGGGCAGCACTTCATTCATTCATTTACTCATTCATTAATTCACTACTTGCCTCTCATGTGCAGGAACTGGGCCAGGCCCTCCGCATAAGATGGTGAGCAAACAGACCTGGGCTCTGCCCTCCTGAAGCTTAAACGCTAGTTGGAATGAGCTAGAAGTTGATCACTTATGAATGCACAAGTATGTGTATACTAGTTAGTATCAGCTCTGTTGAATGGTATAAAGGGGAAGTACGGGGTATTATGAGAATGAAACACCGGGAGAGGATGGAATGAGATTCAAGGCCCAGAAGGGCTTCTCTGAGGAAGTGGTGTCAGGCTGAGGCCTGAAGGAAATAGGAGCTGCGCAGGCCAAGTTGGGGAGAGTGATCCAGGCAGAGGGGTGCCATGGGGAGAGTCCCCAGAACAGAAAGGAGCGCTGGAGCGCTGGAGAGCTAGGAGAACCCTGTGTGGCTGGAGCAGAGCGAGCCCCTCGCCCTCGATTCCATCCTGCAGGCCCCGGAGGTTAACGTCCTTCCCTGAGTAGTCACCCCCATACCACCGATGGGCCACTTCCTCTTTATTCCACCTCCCTGAAAACAAGCCCATGGGCCATTTCTGGCTGAACATTTCCCTGCAGCTCCTGAGAGGCTGGGCCACATGCTCAGGGAGCTGACAGAGCCCTCAGTCCTGCTCTGAGCTCTGGACCGGGTGTAGGAGTCCTGCGCCCTTGAGCTGCCCCAGCCAGGCCTCCTGCATCCACTCCCAGACCTAAAAGAGGAGTCAGGCAGCATAACAGGAATAGATTGTCTACATTTGGGATCTGCTGTAGCTGAAATTGGCCACTACAACCAGGGGTCTCCATCCCCGGGGTCCAGCACCTATGTACCCCAGCCTCTCCTGGCTCAGTATATTGGCTGTTGCCATTTGCCCCATATTGGAGCCTCCTCAAGGCTTGCCCACAGTGGTTGTCAAACCTCACCTGGCTCCGCAGGGAGCTTGTTCTCTGAGGTCCTGCGAAGGTTCCCCCTCCTTCCCTCCTGGATCCCAGGACTTGGTTGAGAGGGACAACTTTCTCCTGCCTGGGCTCATCCCCCTCCCAAGGGGAGAACAGCTCTGATCACGGTAGGGTGACAAATGCATGGCCCCGTACAGGTGCAGGGACTTTTCGCCTCCTGCCTCGCTGTGCCTCCCAACAGGCAGAGGAGGCGTGATTCACCCCATGTTACAGACTCAGGACACAGAGGCCCCGAGAAGGCAAGAACTATCCCAAATCTGGAGAAATCCCAGAATACAAGGGCTGTGAAGATGGAACCAGGGCTTTCTCTTTCTAGCAAAACTTCCGACCTCTGAGAAGGAAACCCCAGGACCAGAGCCCAGGTGGTCACTGTGAGGCCGTGGGGAGTGCTGCTGGTGTCTGGCTGCAGGGTTGGCCCCTGACAGTGACAGCCCCTCACCCAAGCCCACACCTCCTTCCTAGGTGGCCTGCATCCAACGACTGACCGATGTTGGGGTACAAAGGCCCAGCCCCTAGTCCCAACTCCAGTCCACTCTAAAGGGCCATCCCAGCTGCAGAACTGCCCATGGGGTGCACTGAGGAGTCTCCTGAGACCCCACTGTCCCACCTCCCCCTCTGCCAAACACACCTCCTTCCTTTCCCTAGCCCTGGCACGGCCCCCAGAGCACTCCCTGATGAACTTCCTCACGATACTCTCCGCCTTAGATGTGACCCCCAGGGAGAACAGCCTGCCACAGATTCCTTCAGGAGGTGCAGATCCAGGGATCTGGGCAAGCCCCAAGGGCACGGGGAGGACGGGGACCCCAGGAGAACCAGGCACCTTTGTGCTTGCAGGCTGGACCAGGCCCCGCTGAGTGAGGAGCTGAGGGAGCACCTGAGGGCCCTGCAGGAAGACAAGCCTCAGCTGCTCATCTCTGGCAGAGAGTAAGGGGGCCCCGAACTCTCTCTGGCTGGTGCAGGCCCAGGGCTGAGCCAGGAGACTGGGAAAGGTTCTCAGGGTGAAAGAGACACACAGAGTCAGGAAGAAACCAGGAAACCATAGCAGCCGGAGTGAGGTTCATTTAGTGCAAATACAATTAATCACCTCCCTGCTTAAACTCTTCCATTAAACAGACAAGGGGAAGGGGAAGTAGGGAAGTGGAGAAGTGAGTGGGTGAGTGAGTGAGTGAATCCTCTGGGGCCAGCACAGTGTGACTCCTAATGGCCACTAGTACAGGCTCCTTCAGTGCAGAACAGAGAAGGTTTGAAACAGTGGAAGCGACGGCCACCGGGGGGAGACAGAGACAGAGAGAGAGACGCATTGAGAAAGAGATGACCCTCACACACACACAGATACAGATACACACACACACACCTGGCTTGAGGGGAAGTCCATCTCCCTCCCAAGGAATCTGCTGCAGCCCCATGCTGTCTCAGTTGGTGCATTTCAGCCTGTGTCTGTAAGTGCAGCTGTCCCCAAGTTGCTGGCTGCTGTGCCTCACCTGAAATGGAGAGAAAAGAGTTCCTAGGCTGAGGAGCAGGCACCATCCATTGCTCAGACATTCCCAGATGTAGGTGCAGGTCCAGGGATCTGGGCAAGCCCCAAGGGCATGAGGAGCACGGGGGATCCAAGGAGAACCAGGCTCCATTCTGCTTGCAGGCTGGACCACACCTGGCACCAGGAGCTTTGGGAGCAGCTGAGGGCCCTGCAGAAACAGAAGCCTCATCTGTTCATTTCTGGCAGAGGGCAAGGGGGCCCCGAACTCCCTCTGGCTGGCCCAGGCCCAGGGCTGAGCCAGCTGAGGGGGAAATATTCTCAGGGTGAAAGAGACACACAGAGCTAAGAAGACACCCAGAAACCACAAGAGCCAGAGTGAGGTTCACTTAGTATACAGGCCAGTGGGCAGGGAGAAAGTGGCCTTGGTGGAGTGGCCGGGGGACAGGGGCCACAGCAAAGCCTCTTAGAGCATGTTAAGAAGTATCTGTTTCACCCAAGAAACAACAGAGAGACATTACAGGGCTTCAGCAGCCACGTGATGTGTCAGATTCACATGTGAAGCTCAGCTGCTGTGCAGAGTGGGCTGCAGGGGACCCAAGGGAAGCAGGGAAACCTTTCGGGGGACACTACAGGGGTTCAGGCCACAGGTGCCAGGGCCTGGCACTAGGGTGGAGGGAAGAGAACAGAAAGAAGAGCTATTGGGAGGTGCTGCCAAAGCCAACAGCTCTCAGGGGAGAGTTGGGAGGAGTCATGATGATATCCCAGCAGCGGCATGGAAGGATGGGTGGAGTGGGGGATGGGGTGGCCATTCACAGAAACAGGGACCACAGAAGGAGCATGAGCTGGAGTTCAAATGCGGCAGAGTTGAATTCTAAGTGGGGATGTCATGCAGACAGCCCTAGTTTCCTCCGAGAACTTGGAGAGAATGAACAACTCTGTGTTCCAGGAAACGGAGTGCGGTGATCCCTAAGGAGCGCTGGGACAGAAGGAAGATGACTAGAAACAGGCCCTTCCTGAATAAGCAGAGGCCAGAATCAGGTAGTGTGAAGGAGCCATGTTGGGAGGGTCATGATGGGTGGGGGAGGTCATCCCCTCCATCCCCCTGTCTCTGATGCCAGATGGGGCAAGTTTGCCACCTAAGAAGGGCTCGCCCCATCCATGCTCTCGTAAGCCTAGCACCAGCTAGATTTCTCCTTCCCTGTCCCCCAGGCTCTGAGGTTGGTGCTGTCCCTTTCCAGAACCTCTGTGGCATGGATAAGATTCAGAACCAGGGCCCAGTGTCCCAGTCTAGGCTGCTGAGGCCTGGGAATCCCTTCTCCATCCCTGCCCTTCCATCTCTTGAGCCTTATTCCATTTTCAACCTGCCCTCCTAGGGCATGCTGGGAAGAGCAACAACCTGGACCAGTGGGGAAGGTGGGGGAGGCTGGTAGAGGCTGGGTTGGGGGCAGGGGATGGGCCTCCACTGACAACAGGCAGGCAGCCCCAGGAGCAGGGGGGAGACTGCAGACACTCCCTGCCACCCTGCCACAGGCCAGCCTTGGGAAGGGCCCCTTGGGATCCAGGGTACAGGTTGGGGGACACCAGGTGGGAGAATCCAGAGCTGACCACTGCCCCACTGTTCCAGAGGGAAGCTCCTCACAGGTAGCACAGACGGTGGAACCCTTCTGTCTGTCTTCTCCTGCCTCTCCGAGGGACTTGCACATGGAGCCTCTGGGGACCGAAGATGACTTCTGGGGCCCCACAGGACCTGTGGCCACTGAGGTAGTGGACAAAGACAGGAGCCTGTACCGGTGAGTGCAGGGGCTCTGCTGGTCTGAGGGCAGCCTCCCCGACCCCACTTCCCCACTGGGTCCCCTCGCACAGTCAGCACCCCAGCCACCCCCTGTTGGGTCCCTCCTCCTGCCAAGCCAGCAGGCAGGGACAGGGCTGAGACGCTGAGTGTGCGTGTTTTACTATGGAAGAAGATATTTTATTATGAAAATTTTCAAATATATACCAAAATAAAGAGTAAAAGCAACTTCCATGTACTCATTACACAGCTTCAACCACAGCTGTGCCAAATTCAATTATTACCTTTCTCCCTCTTTTGTTATTTTTACAATATTTTATTTTTTTCACACACTTCCTATTTCACAGAAATTTTTACAATATTTTAAATTCAAGACATCAGCTGATTTTTATCCTTACATATTTTATTATGTGTGTCAAACAATACAAATAAAGACCTTTCTTCCATAACCACGGTGCCATTATCACATCTAACAAAGCCTCCAATAAGTCTTTCATATTATCTAATACCCAGGCCATTTTCAGATTTGCTCAATTATATGTGTTCTTGCAGGTGGTTTGTTCTAATCAGGATCCAAACAATGTCCACTAAATGAGATTTAAATCTCATTTAAATCTTTTTGAATCTATAAGCTCTCATTTTATTAATAGCTGCTACATGCTAAGGAATGTACTAGTAGCTGAGAACCCTAAAATGAGTATGGTGGCCCTGCCCTCCAAGGCCACCCTGATCTCTCATATAACACGTTGCCACTCACCAGACACTGTCACAGCCATTATCTCATCTGGGAGACAGTGTCACTGCCATCTACAGAAGCCGGCATCCTGGGACCCCGCCACTGCCACGTGGGAGTCTTGGAAAAGTCAATTAAAATCTCTGTAAAGTGTTGTTTTCAGCTCCGAGGGTTGAACATTAATATTAGCATGTGGGCCGGGTGCAGTGGCTCACACCTATAATCACAGCACTCTGGGAGGCCAAAGTGAGAGGATCACTTGAATCCAGGGCTTTGAGACCAGCCTGGGCAACACAGAGCTATCCCTCTCTCTACACAAAAATTTTAAAAAATTTACCAGGGGTGGTAGTACCTGTTGTCCTAGCTACGCAGGAGGCTGACTTGGGAGTATTGCTGGACATTAGAGTGAGCTATGATTACACCACTGCACTCCAGCCCGGGTGACAGACCCAAACTCTGTCTCTAAAAAAAAAAGCAAATAAAAAAAGTTACAATATAAATTTCCATTATTGGCAAATGACCAGTTAGAAATAAGAACATTTGCCTATTTCATCATCATCATCATCACTGTCATGTCATCATGATAGGAACAGCTAACTTCCCCCAGGTTTGTACAAGCTGCCAGCATGCATTAGTCATGTGTCCTCAAACTATAAAATGGGTGCTGTTACTATTCCTACTTAGAGATGAGAAAACTGACAATAGGGAGGTTACATGACTTGCTTACCATATTTCCCTGAAAATAAGACAGGGTTTTATATTTATTTTTCCTCAAGAAGACACTCTGGGGCTTATTTTCAGGGGATGTGTTCATTTTTTTAAGTGTGGTACAACAATCTACATTTATTCAAATATAGTTAAGTCATCTTCTTCTGGAATACATCATAACTCTCCAAACCCCAAATTCCATCCTGAATTTCTTGTGACTCTATTTCCTTTAGAACCATTGGCCCCAATCTCTCATGTCCAGCAATAGAGCTCTCATGGGGCAGATGAGAAGGGCTGCTCGTCTTCTTTACTGCGCTGCGACAACATGCATAGGTTGTGCAGATGCGCTGCACAGACATACCCATCACTAGGTCTTATTTTCGGGGTAGGGGTTATATTGCACAAATGCTTAGAAATCCTGCTAGTGCTTGTTTTATGGGTAGGTCATATTTTCGGGGAAACACGGTAGTTCCAGAGCAGAGCAGCCAGGAGTAAACCCCAAATCTGTCTGACTCTGAAGTCTGGGCTTGCAACTGCTCTGCCATATTCAAAAGCCCCTGCAGAGTGTCTGGTGTCCAGCAGGTACTCAGCGAGTTTGTGTAATGTAGTGTCTGCCTCTCCCTCTGCCTCCCAGAGTTCACTTCCCCGGGTCTGGCTCCTACTACTGGCCCAACACAGGCCTCCACTTTGTGGTGAGAGGGGCAGTGACCATCGACATTGAGTTCTGTTCCTGGGACCAGTTCCTGCGTGGGACCAGCCCACAGCACAGCTGGATGGTGGCAGGGCCTCTGTTTGACATCAGGGCTGAGGCGGGATCCGTGGCAGCTGTGCACCTCCCTCACTTTGTGGACCTCCAAGGTAAACAAGAGGGAAAGATGGTGGGTGGCTAATAATGGCCCTGAAGGGGAGTGTGGGACAATGCTGTCCTGGGAGAGGGGCTTGTGGCTTCCTTAGAGGGACGGGGAGAGGGTTATGGAGGTGGAGACTGAGATTGTTCCTCATTCTGGTCTTCTTTGAACATATGTGTCTTGAAACTCATGTCGCCAGCCTCGCAATTATTTTTGCCTGTGCTTACTTGAAAAATTCCCTAAATGGAAAATGATTTCCTCAATGACAATAGTAACTAGCATTTATTCAGTGCTCTTTATATAGATTGTGTCACTCAGGGTCCCAACAGGAAACAGATGATATTCTCCATGGAGATTTTTGAAGAGACTTTTCAAAGACAGGACTATATACAAGGTAGGGCGACTTGAACTAACGTGGAATGTTGGGGTACCTGGAGACTAGCAACCCTGGGAAGCCATTACTACACCTACAGGAGGGAGAAGAAACAGTGTCACCAGATAGCATTTGAGAGCTGGAGCCATGAGAGACAGGCATCCCAGTAGAAGACAGTAGTCATAGTGTATCCCAACCTCGGTCACCTCTGAGACTTCCCACAGATAAAGTTCCCAGAAAGAAGCTCACAGTCAAAAATATTGCAAAGGGTAAATAAGGCACCATAAATGAGAGCTGGTGGGAACTACAGGTACCAGAGTCATTCCCCTAAATATTTCAGAAATTGGAATTATCAGAAACAGAACACAAAACAAGTGTGTATAACATGCTCAAAGAAATAAGTAGTCTTAAACATATGAGCAAGAAGCAAGAAACCATTAAACATGATAAACCAAATTTGGAATCAAATTAAATTGACAGAAAATATAAGAAAAATTTTAAGGAAGAAAAAGTAGTAGAGTATACCATGAGAAGACCTAATATACATCTAATTAGAATTCCAGAAGGATCTAATAGAGAGAATGAAGAAAGATGCAATATTCATAGAGATAATATTTAATAATTGCCATGAAATTTCTAGAGTTTTTGAGAGATATGATACTTCTCAGAATGAAAAATCCAAAATTCCACAGCAGGACAGACAGATAAGTGAGAGAAAGACAACAAGATCTGACTCACTATGGTGAAACTACAGAGCAACAAAATATATGGAAGGTCTTGACAGCAGCCAGAAGAAAGATTGCCTAGAAAGAACTGCCATGAGGCCGATGACTGATTTTTGATCAGCACCGATGGAGGCAGAAGAAAATGAAATTACCTCTTCAATGTACTCTAAAATACTGCCAGTCAAAAACTGCAAACAGAGAATTAATAATTGTACTTTTTAAGAAGAGAGTAAAATAAAACATTTTAAAACAAACTAAAAAGCAAAACCAAGAGTGCTTATCACAAACAAACGCACACGGAAGGAAATTCTAAGGGATGCGAGCCAGGCAAAAGGAAACCGGTCCTACACGGAAGATCCGAGGTGCAAAATGGAATGACAAGCAAAGCCCCTGAGACATGTGTGGGTAAATCTAATACAACGTCACCTAGAGAAAGCAATGATATTAAGGTCTGATATGTGGGGATTTATGAGAGCAGCTAACTAAATAAATACCAACAATAATAGCATCTAAGAGTGTTAAAGGATTCCATGATCTTGGTAGGCAAGGCTGACCTTCAAACAGATGCGCCACGAATACTGTCCAGGTTTAAATACCGAAATGCTTCTGAACAGGGCAGTAAAGGGAAATTCTTTATGTATTGAGACCACACACTACCTAACAACATCATTCAGTTGGCTGCGGTGCAGGTGGCAGGGGTGGCCGAGGCAGCTTTGCCGTGGACCAGCCCAGGGCAGGCGGGAGGGTCGGAGCCTGTGAGGCAGCAGATGGGGGCACACAGAGCACTGTTGTGAGCAAGGGCTGCAGCACAGGCTCCCCACCCCTGGCCACCTGGGTAGCCCTGGCATCAGATGAAACCCAGACAATGCTGGGTGCCAGGGACCTAATGTCTAACGTGTAGTGATAAAGTTAGATGAATCTGATGTGCTTCCCCACGTCAAATCAAGACTCAGGCAGGAGCTTCCTCTAATTGATGACAGAATGACTGGACAAACAATTTGTGTTACAGCTTCCATCAGTTGTAAGCACTTTCATGATATGTACACATTAGATAAGTAGTGAAATTGCATATGTTTTTAATTTTTAATGTATATATTGGTTGTTATGTTAATTTATACTGTTGTCCGAGTAGTTCACTGTATTTGGTATCACCTCGAGGTAAAGGTATTAATCTAGACTTTAAGTATACACATTAAAATATTAGAGTTATCACTGAAAGCATATATATAAGAAAAATTATTTAGAAAGTAGTAGAAAGAAAAAAATGGAATGAGAAAAATAGAAAGCAAGGAGCTGCCCTGTACCCAGTACCCAAGAAGTCTTGTTTATAGCGGCCACGGAAGCTCAGTAGACAACTCAAGCTGCACACCGGGAGGGAAGTGCAGGGCAGGGAGATCCAGGCCAGGGCCTCAGGAGCCTCAGGAGCCCTGGGGAGCCTGGCTTAACAGAAAGGGCCATGCAGAGTTCCCCAGGGAAGGTTCCATGGTAGAGCAGGATGAGGGAGGCAAGGAGAAGCAAGACAGCTCAAGGGGCTGTAGAGGTCCTTCCAGGGAGGAGGAAGTTGGGGAGAGGGCACTGACAGCTCAGAAAATAGCTGGGACAAGTTATTCTTCCCACATGACAATCTAAGGAATAATGACTACAGCCATGACAGCAACCATGCTGCCTCTTGGGCCCAAGTGTTCTCTGGGTGCACTGACAGCAAGACCTGACAGGCTTGGCCAAGGGAGGCAGTGGGCTCAGCCTGCCATAGATCTGCCCGTGCCCAGCAACAAGACCACTTGGGCCGCCTGGACCTGGGATGCTCGGCGCTGCACCACCACTCCCAGCTCTGCACCAGGATCCCAGGAGAGATCTCACACAGCTAAGGCCTGAGCCAGAATGCACCAGCAGGGCCTGAGGGGACAAAATGTGCCTTTAGCCTCTGCTCCAGAGCCCCTCATATCCCACTCCTAGAGGTGGGCAAGCTGGCCCTTCCCTTGGTGAGACACCCTAGTCACACCCTGGTCAGTCTCACACATCCATCAGGTGGGCCTAGGAAACAGGACTTGCCCAAGGAATTGGGTGAACCTCCAAGTGCACAGAAATCTAGCCTAAGTCTGCCAGGCTGACAGCCAGATCCGGACAGGAGTGAAGTCACTGTGTTGGTGGCACTGTCCTTTGACGGCTCCTGGAAAATGGCTAATAAGAATGATGAACAATGAGTGGGCAATCTGTGCCAGGTGCCACAAAATGTACCATATACATTAATATCTTCTCAATTTTCACAATGACCCAGTGAGTTAGGGACTGCGGTTTTCCCTTGATGTACCAATGAGGAAACTGAAGATCAGAGAGGTGAATATCCTTGTCCAGACCTGGGATTCTAACTTGGGTCCCATTTATCCCAGGGTAAGATCTACACACCCACCCCACCCCAGCCATGCCCACGCCCATATTTCATCAGCCTTTTCTATACCAAATTCTAGGTCACATCCTCTGGCCAGACAAGACATTACTCCCTTTGGCTTCTGTACCCAGAGTAAGAGGCAAAATGCACAAAGGCCATTTCTGAGCTGGCTCTGCACATGCCCAGCCAGGAAACCAACCCTGGGGACAGGCAGGGCCCCTTCCAGGAATCCCTGCTGCCTGCTCTCTGGGCTGGAGCTGTTTGTTGCCCTGGAAACGATGACCTCACTGCCAATCAGAGGTCTGGTTTAGGACTTGGGCACTGGCCACTTCACTGTCATTGCTGAGTTCCTCTGTTGAGTGACCAACTCTCCACAGTGAGTTTCCTCCCAGCATAGCTAGAGCTTAGAGCTTTCAGCCTCCCAGCTTCACCCTGGGGCCTCACAGACCTCACCACCCTGGGCATTCTCACCCTTCTGCAGGACCAGCTCCATCAGTTGCAGGGCCCAGTACAAAATGCATATCTCTTATTAGCCATGTCTCTTGTTCAAAAATGATTAAGAATACTATCAAAATGGTGACAGCAGAACATTAAACCAAGTGCCAAGTCCTTCTGAGGTCAGGACTCTGAGCAACCAACTGCACAGGCCACATGCCCATGAAGCTGGCTCCGTCTTTTGGAACCCTTACCTTCCCCACCACTCCATCTCCTTCAGAACACACACACCCCTGCTCTCCACTTCCTCATTTCTGTCTCACTGGTTCCTCTCTGTGCTGCCCATGGAGAACAAAGGCACTTCACATAGCCACCCTGGTGGGCTCATTCACCAGCTCTTCTCTCTCCCTTTCCCCACTCACCCAGGAGCTCACCTGAACGAGATTAGATTACAAAGAACCACAGTGGTATCCCACATGCCTCAAAACTGTGGGTTCTCTGGAATCAGCACCTTCTGACTCATGCAAAAAAAGAGCATCTCAAAACACAGATTCAGCAAAATTTATCTTGAACAGACCTTAGGACTGAGCGCGGTGACTCACACCTGTAATCCTAGCACTTTGAGACGTGAAGGTGGGAGGATCACTTGAGCTCAGGAGTTTGAGGTGGCGGTGACCTATGACGACAATTCAAGCTTCATACTGGGAGCGAAGCACACCAGGAGGGAAGCACTACACTCTAGCCCAGGAGACTGAGTGAGAACTGTCATAAAAAAAAATAAAAAAGATCATAGAATTTTTTGTTCCCAAACCACAAGGGTTATGAGGATGGCTATGCCAAGTTGTTTGAGGAAGAAAGAGAAAGAACCACAATATCCATGAGTGATGTGCTTGGTCAGGCTACATTGTATCTGTGATAACAGCAGGTAACCCTTGCTATCCCAAGTGCTCTACAGACACAAACCAATTCAATGTGCACAATGACACTGGGAGGTGGACACTGTTATTGGCTCCACTGCTGATGTGTGGAGAGGTTAAGTAATCTGCTCTCAGTTGCATAGCTGCTTAGGGCTTTTGCTGGGAGTCACACTCAGGCAGTCCACATCATTTAACTGCATTGCTAGATGGCTCTCACGTAATGTGGGTCCCATTGTCCCTCCTTGAGCAGGAGTCTCTATGCCTCAACAGCTCACCTGAGCCTGGAAGCTGCTGACAACACACTCAGCAGGGAAGGCAGGGCCATGGCAGAAAGGCCACAGGCCCAAGGGCAGGGTCTAAGGGTGGGAGAGTCCCCAGGTCCCTGGACTGCAGCAGGAGCAGCAATGGCCCAAGGCAAACACTGGGCATGCCTCTGGGAAAGGAGGAGGGAGCCGATGGGCTTAGCCTGACACAGCACTTGTCATGCTTTGGGCCATCAGCCTGTCTTCCCTGTTGGGCCATGAGCTCTGGAACTGCAGTGCCTGTGTCCTCCCTGCTCACAGCTACATGCACAGGGCCTGGCACATTGTAAGGCCTCAATAAACTTTTGTTTAATGAGCAGATGTAAACCCCTGGGCCTCAGACCCTACCACAGAAACATGCCTACCCCGTGATGGCTTGTTCTGAATATTTCTAATGAGACCAGCTAAAGGCACCTCTGCCTAGAAGGTCTTCCTGACAATGATACTTGTCCCAGTCGACACTCAAGCTTCTTCTCCTTCAGGCCATGATCTTCCTTGTTGCTTCTCTTCTCTCTCCAATCTATCAACACTAACATACTGTCAGGTTTGGAGAAGGTGATTCTGCTACTGTCTATGGAAAGGACAGAATAGGCAAGAAGGAAGGTGACCAACTCCTCTCGGATGGTGCAGGACTTTCTTGACCTTAACACTGACAGTCTTGCATCCTGGGAACCCTCTCAGTCCTGGGCAAGCTGGGACACAGTCAGCCACCCTAGCAAGAAGGGAAGTTGGAGACACACAGCACCTTCCAGAATTCAGCCAAAATCAGCTAGGCACAGAACATTTGTGAGTGCCACAAACTGTGGTCAGAGTGCTGGGATCTGGTCCTATGGCCAACACTAGCTGTGTGGCCTTGAAAAAAGCACTTCCCTCCCAGGGTTTCAGTTCCCACATGTGACACATGAGGACAGTCCAATGCTGTGGAGGTCCAGGTGAGACCATCCACTTAGTGTCACTGATGACAGAGCAAAGTGGCACCACCTCTTGGAGAAGTAATTGGGGGAAACAAAAGGTCTTAACCTTTCACACACTTTTCTATCCCTTGGTACTTACTGACTTCATGGCAATAACCCAAGGGAAAAAGAAATGTTCCCTGCTGAAATATGTGCATTGCAGTGCTGTGTATCGTGGTGGGAAGTTGGAAGCGTGCTCAACCCTGACAGGAGAGGCGGATGGAGAATTACAGGGTGAGGCATCCACTAGGAGGGTCACATGCTGTGGTCATAGAAAGGTCTGAGAGATGCTGAGAGATGTTTTCATGGGAAAAACAGGAGACAAAGAGCTACATGAACTACAGTGGAAATATGAAAAGGTGTTGCTGCAGGGAAAGACTGGGATGGAAAAGGGTACGATAGCACAATAGTTGTGTTGTTTAGTGAGATTCATAGATGAATTATCCTCATTGTTTCAGATGAGGTATGCCACTGTGGTATTATTTTTCATCCAAAAACTGCAATCAATAAATGAGAAAACTTAAGTAAGGATCTTCATAGCTCCTTGTGGGATTAACATCATTCGGTGATATTCTGACTGGTACTCCACCCACTAAGGTCCTTGTTCAGCTTTCTAGGTGTCATGTTGCCCAGAAACCACCTGCATCACAGCAGTTGCCAGGCAACGCAGTGATGGAGCCAGGACTCCTCATCTGCAGGCCAGCATCTCTTCCACCACCAGCCTTCGTCGCTAAAACTGTCTCCTGTGGTTTTAACATCCTTACGTGGTGTACTGGTCTGAAGTCAAAGATACCAATTCTGTGTGATGAAGGAATGTATTGGAAGATTCTCAAGTAGCTCATAGACTTAACAAAAGCTTCTACAACAAATCTAAGTGGAGCAAAGAAAAAAGACAGTGACACAATGATGCTGAGAAACCAAGGACATGACCACGGTCAAACCAAGAAAAATATGGAGAGACCAATGCTGCAGACACAGCTGCTGTGGGATCTGCCTGCCATGGGGCCACTGGGCGTCTGACTCCACTGCCACTGCCAAAATAATCTCTGTCTCTTCGTCTGTGATCCGCCCCTCTGGGCTGGAGGTCCTGGTTAGGGACATCCACTTAGCCAAGTCTTGGCCACATGCGTGTGTCATAGCTGCCAGGGAGTAGCAGCTTCCTGAGTGGGAGCCTCAGCTTGTCTCCTGCCAAGCCCCACACAATGCTGGAGGAGGTGGCTCTTCCCAAAAAGAGGGGTTTGCCTGCTGAGTGACCAGTGTAGATTCCTTGACCACTTGACAATGTAGGCTATCTGTGGTCACTCCATTTCCCACAGTCCCTTCCTTCTTGTTCTCTACCTGCCTAAAGTCAATCCTGCCAGCATCACTCAATGATCCCTCATAGGTATAGAATCCACATGAGCACAGGTAGCCAAGCATTCAATATCTTTCCAAGCACTGGGTCCAGGGGATGGACCTGGGTATGAGTTTTGCCCAAAGAAGTTCCTGAGGTGCTCCCACCCTAGAGACAGTATCACCTGCAATCTCCAAAGGCCCCAGACCCAGGCATAACCCCTTCTCCATGCTGGATGGCTTAGTCCATTCAGGCTACTATAACAAAATCTTACCAGCTGGTAGCTTATAAATAAGAGAGATTAATTTCTCAGGTCTGGAAGCTGAGAAGTACAAGATCAAGGTGCCAGAAGATTCAGTGTCTGGTGACGGTACTCTTCCTCATAGATGGTCCCTTCTAGATGTGTCCTCACAGAGTGGAAGAGATGAGCAAGTTCCCTTAGGTGTCTTTTGTTAAGGCACTGGTCTCATTCATGAGGATTCTGTCCCTATGATCTAGTCACCTCCAAAAAGATTCCACTTCTTTTATTATTAAGATCAGGTTCTTGCTATGTTGCCAAGGCTGGGCTCAAGCAATCCTGCCCTGTCAGCCTTCCTAGAAGCTAAAACTACAAGCATACACCACACACAGCTAATTTTTTTCTATTATTCTCATAGGAATTCCACTTTTAATACCATCACTTGGGCATTAGAATTTCAACATATCAGTTTTGCAGAGACACAAACATACAGACCCTACCTATGGGTTCCCCCAAGAAGGTCCCTGAGCCGAAGCCCTTGGATCCTTCTGTGCCAGCCAAGCCTGACTCAGTGAGGGCCCTAAATCCATGCCTTTCTATTCCATTCTTTGACAGGCGGCCATGTGGACATCTCCCTGTTCCAAGTGGCCCACTTTAAAGAGGAGGGGATGCTCCTGGAGAAGCCAGCCAGAGTGGAGCCACATCACACCGTGCTGGAAAACCCCAGCTTCTCCCCCATGGGAGTTCTGATGAGAATGGTCCATGCAGCCCTGCGTTTCATTCCCATCACTTCCACAGTGTTGCTCTACCATCACCTCCATCCTGAGGAAGTCGTCTTCCACCTCTACGTGATCCCCAGTGACTGCTCCATTCGGAAGGTGACACTGGGCCAGGGTGGGCTGGTGGTAAACACGAAATGCAGACAGAGAGGCCCCAGAGAGGTTCCTGACTAGGATGGGCCTCTTGTAAGAGGGAACCTCTATGTGGGTGAACAGTCCTGCCCCTCACTCAGCCACAGGCTGGGCTCCTGACTCCCCAAGGTCTCCCCAGCTTGGTTCACTGCTCCATCACTCATTTTTGCACAAGTGTTTGCAGTCTCTTTCCAGGAGTCAAAGGATGGCAGGGCTCTGTGCCTAAAACCAGCCTTTCCCCATTCTCACTTCTTCTGCAGCAATGACCCTGTTCCCACCCTGAGGATGGCACAGGCCCAGTGTGGGGCTATCTGTGTGGCTGTGCTTGGGAGTGAGCGGTGCAGGGGTGGTAGCCCCCACATACAAACACAGAAGCACCATCTCACCTATTGAGACCAGATCCCATGGAGCAGAATCCTCCCTTAATCATTGTTCTGCATGTTCCTTAGGCCATCGATGATGAAGAAAAGAAGTTCCAGTTTGTGCAAATACACAAGCCACCCCCGCTGACCTCACTGTATATGGGCTCTTGCTACACTGTGTCTGGCCCAGCAAAACTGGAAATAATCCCCAAAGTGAGCATCCCAGTGTTTGCCCCTTGCCGGGATCAGAGGGCATGCTCAGGAATCCCTGTGGGATAGGTCTCAGGGCCGTCCCAGGGGTGCAGCAAATTGGGGTTGAGCAAAAAGAAGAGTGGGTTTTAGGGTGAGTGGGAATGCTGCAGAGATTGGAGGACAGGGAGGGAGGACCACACTCAGGATGTGGAGATCGATGGGTTTGACTTGGGATCACTGGGAAGTGCTTGGGCTGTGGGGAGCCACTGGCCTCCAGTGAAGCTCCACAGGAATACACCTGCAGCCCAACACGCTGTGTCTGTCACTCCCTGAGTCAGGGCACACAGCAGGGAAAACATGGGGCATCTCAGTGAAACAGTATTAGAAAGAACCTGCTATAGGATTGTTGGCCTTAGTTCGGTAGTTTGAAGGAAGGTCTGAGGAAATGGAGATTGGCTCTAGATTTGGCATTTTCTGCAAACGGGCAATTCTATGAATGGGAATCTCAACAAATGTCTCTGGGGAGGGCAAACGAAAGCAAGCACAAAGCTGTAATTGCTAAACAAGTAGCCGTCACTCAGTTAGTAGAGGGAGGATGTTTGGCATTTTCTGACTACCCAGTGACATGTCTGTAGTGGATGTTCTGAGATTGTGTGTGTCTTACCAAAGGACAACACAGCAGAGGTGTGAGCCTCAGTCAGTTTGTGATAACACTGAGGTCTCGATGGGAGCCTCAGATCCCTTCCTGGGTGTCAGCGGCTGTTTTTGTGCTTTCTCAGTCCGCTCTTAGAGTGAAAGACACATGAAGTTGGGCCCCTGGGCATTAATCCTTGATATGCAAATCTTCCCTCTGGCCCACATTTGCTGCGTAGGATCAGAACACCGTTTACTGCATGGTGGTCTGTAGTTGAACCAGGGTTAATCCTTCTTTCTTTCTCCTTTTGTTGTGAGATGAGTCTTTGAACCATCTGATATCACAACAGCTGTGCAGCATGTAAGAGTCAGGACAGGGTACATTGGCCAACTGTAACACAGGCAGTTATCAAAAACAAAAGGACTATCAGTCTTTGTAACAGGTCTCCAAAGCAGGGGCCTGGATTATGGAAACCAGTCAATAAAACAAACCCTGAATCCAGCTGGGTCTATTTATGAAAGCCAGGGGGTGTGCTCCTTTTTTGTCGCTACTTACAAATTGTTCTGCTTACAAGTATAAGTCAAATGGAAGTATTTGCTATAGTGAAAATTCCATTTCGTGTAGCTAATAAATGTTTGCCTGCAAGGTAAGGTGGGGGGTGATGGATCCAGCAATCCGTTAAATTCAGAGCATTAGCTGGGGCTGGGAAAACATACATGAGAGGTTTGTTTTTCCTATGTGGTAGAAGGAAATAATAGGATGAAGATAAGGGCGATCAAATAAGTGTTTCAAAAGTTGTCAAGGTAGAATAATAGAACAAGATTAGTAATATAATAAAGGGACAGCAAAGAGTGTTGAAGAATCAGAAAATTTACCTTATTCCAACATCTCGGGCAGAAGCTGTCCATCTCTGAAGTCTATGGTTTCTGAAGGATTTCTAGAAATCTTCAATTTAATGTCTCCAGAGGGACTAGATATCCAGTAATTAGGAAGAAGTGATGTTTATCTTTTGAGTTGGGAAACATGACTCCAAGGATGAATATCTTGGAGTCTTCCTGCTGTGCTAGTTGTTAACAAGGGATGAGAGAAAGACACGATCCAGTCATTCAGTGAGTATTTGCCCAGTGCCAAGTATATGCTGTCTTTAGTGGAGATAATTCAGTGAACAAGACAGACTCATCCCTGCTCTTGTGAGGCTTATATCCTGGTGGATGAAACCTACATATACAATGAAAGACATAATGACCCAGTACCATGATGTGCTGTGAAGAAAATACAGCACTGTAAGAGAGTGACTCAGGCTATTTTACACCAGTGGTCAGGAGAAGTGTCTCTGAGACTGCATTAAAGCTGAGACTCAGTGACAAGAAGGGTTCAGGCAAGTGGACATTTGTGGCAGAGCGTTTCAGGCAGATACACAAAGGTGGAAGCAAGCTGACACTTGCAGGTGACAAAAAGGAGGCCAGTGTGGCAGAGCTTAGTGTACGTAGCAAGAGATGGGTCAGATCAGAGGCAGAGTCTCCCAGGGCTCGCTGTCCCAGTTGTTCCTGATATGGAGTTGGGATTTTGATCTGAGTGCAATGGCAAGCCCCTTGGAGGGTCTTACATGGTAATATAAGACCAGATTTACTTTAAAAAGATGCCTCTGGCTGCTGAGTGAGAATGGGTGATAAGCAGACAAGGGTGGAAGCAGAGAGACAAGTCAAAAGGTTGTTCCAAAGCCAGACATACTGAGGAACATCTGTAGTTCCAGTATGGGACGTGGGAGGCTGAAGCAGGAGGATCACTTGAGCCTAGGAGTTCAAGGCCAGCCTAGACAATATAGCAAGACCTCATCTCAGAAAAACAAATGCTATTGCAATACTACTGGCTAGAGTTGAAGGTGGCTTGATTAGGAAGGTAGCCTTGAGATGGAGAAAAGTTAATGGACTCAGGGTATATTTTGGAGGTAGAGCTAACAGGACTTGGGGGATTGGATGTGGATGGGAAGAAGTTAAGGATAATCCCTAATTTGGAAATATTTACCAAGGTTGTGGAAATAGGAGAAGGTGCATGTTTGGAAGACAGTTGGGAATAAAGAGTTCTGTCTTGGGTATAACTCAGTAAAGGGGATGCATATAAATTTCCTGTTAACTGAAAGCAGGTCAAGTTTAGGATCCATTGGGAAGACAGGCTTTGGGCTGGAGGAATGAGGGTTTGGATTCAAGACGGGGGAGGTGGAGGAAGAAGGATCTGGCTTAGGATGGATGAGCACTACTTTTAAGGAGGAGTCCTGACTCATCCATGAGGTTCCCAACTGTGTCCTCATCCTTCTGATTCAGCATTTGCAGAATATTGGAAAAAGAGCAGAGTCTGGTCGTGGTGACTGATTTCAGTACAGGAAGTTATTGGAGTGTCCCTATGGAGTCAAACAGGGCCAGGAAGGTGGGAAGATGTGGGAAGGATCTCACTTACAGGATGAACAGGATGGCGACTCTTTGTCTCTTCAGGAACTGGAGCTCTGCTATCGGAGCCTTGGAGAACCCCAACTGTTCTCGGAGATCTATGTTGACCATTTGGGGTCAGGGATCAGGCTGCGACTGAGAGACAAGAAAGACAGGACGGTGGTGTGGAAGGCCTTGGTGAAACCAGGTAAAACCAGGACAAGTCCAGGGAGCCCAGAGATGCAGGGAGAAAGAAAGTCAGCGAACATGTGTTCATGTATGTATGACAGTGTACATTATCACAGTTTATTCATGAGAAGAAGTAGCCCAAGGAAGTTAGGTGGCTTTTTCAAGTCACATCACTGTTGTTATGACCAGAATTTAAACTCAAGTCAGTCTGTGCTCTCCCCTGTGCACCATGGTGTCTCCACACTACCCTTGAATTAACAGATCTTGACATCCACAAGCCTTTTGGCAAAGCTTCTCATGACAGCTTGGATGAGGGATGAAAGAATAGGAACTAGAAGATTATGTGTTTGTATGGATTCAGCCATACAAATGGATTCAGCCATTATATGGATTTTGCAATACCAGATAATCTCCCTGGATCGTTCAATATTTTTCAGGTAGAGAAGAGGGAATCAAATGGTGAACTTTTAGAGATGGAGGAATCTCTTATAGCCTTACCAACATGCTAAGAACCCAAATCCTCAAACATTCCTTCTAGAGACAACCAGCCCTTGTCAGCTGTCATAAAAATGGAGCTTCTTCTTGAGCTGCTACAAACAGGCTACACAGTGTGTGGGAAAATGGCGAGCTTTGCTCACTCTTGCCTGTGTGCAACCACAGGTGGAGAACTAACCGGCCCCAGCTTCAGACCTGGGTTCGAATCCCAATCTGGCACTTACTTCCTGGGTGATCTTGGGAAAATTACTTAACTCATTTGAGTCTCAGGTTCCTTATCTACATCATGAGGATCATAATGACCAATTTGTAGGGATGATGGAAAGATTAAGTAAATCTTAGAAAAGATTTACTTAATTTACTTAGAAAGATTAAGGCTTGTACATGCCTCATGCATGGTACCTAATAAATAGTAGCAATATTATTCTTTTTCCTCATATTAAGCCAATGTCCTCCTCCTGACAGTCTGAATTCTCTGAATTCTTGGAGCTCACAGAAGAAGTCTATCTCTTTCCCCACAGGAAAACCCATCAGACTCTTGATGTGATCATGGCCTCTCTTATGTCTCATCTTATAGGAGTTAAACATCTCCAGTCCCTTCCATCATTCCTCCTCTATTTTGGTCTTTAAATTCTTTGCTGCCACCATGCACAGTAGATTCTCCAGTTGAGAAATGAGTCAGTATTGACTCCCAGACTATGCAATCAGCCCACAGGCTGTAGAACACCCTCCTCCCTCCATCCACATGGACCCTGTGCTCCCCGAACCAAACCTGAACTCCCCTCTCCTGTGCGCCTTCCTGCACTGTGAGGTCACACTGAACCTGGGATCTGCTCAGACTCTCAGGCCTTATTGACAAGAAATGCAGTGAACTCCCCCTGTCTCTCCTTTGAAAGAAATGTTTCAAGTCTCTTCTCTTTTTTTTCTTATTTGTTTTTCCTATTCAAAGTCACTCATTCTTCCCCTGTGCTAAAATTGCTTGATCTTGATTCTTGATTCTGACATCCAAATCCGGAACTCACATATTTGGTCTGTGCCCGTCTACAAGGCCAAACAAGGACAGAGAAGTAGATTTCTACTCAGAATAAGGAGATGTCAAACAGTTTAAGCTTTACCTAGCAAGGCATTTGGTTAGTTGTCCAACAGGGATTGATTTTGTTGAAGTAAGGACTGCATAAAACCAAGTCTACAATGTGTGGGAGAAATTGCTACTGCTCATTCAGATGAATTCTCTCTCTTTATTGGTCTATGTTCATAGCCTCTGGGCCTCAGTTTCCCCATATGCATAAGGAAGAGATTCTGAATCAAAGAATCTCAGAAGTGAGTGGGAGCTTGGAGGTGTATCACATGTGTTAATAACTACTACTGCAACACATGCTCATTTATCTCTGTTTTCCTCCAGGAGATCTCAGACCTGCAGCTATCCTGGACCCTCCAGCCCCCGTAGGTCAGTAACAGCTCTTAGGGAGCACAGGGGCCAGTGGGAGTTCTGGAGTGCACACTCTGGTCATGGACAGAGGGGAAAGAGAGCAGAACTCACAAGGATCAAGACCTGGAGAGGGGTGCATGCCCTGGGGCAGAGTCCCTCCCCATCCCCCTAGTTCTTGCCCACAGAAGTCTTAGAACCCCCCACTGAACAACCTCAAATTCCCTCATAGCGAACCCCACTACCACACCCCACTTGGGCAGAATACCAGGCTAGATGCTGACATGAGGGAAAGCAGAGATGCCTTTCTGATGGTCAAATGCCTTTCCAAAGGGAGGAGGAAGCCAGGGATGCAGTAGGGAGAGAGAAGAGGGCTGGACATCGGGGCTGGAGGTGAAGTATACAGTGGGAGCCCTTCTTTGTTCATTGCCAGCCTCACCTTCATCCCCAGACACCCCGGCCTTGCTGCACTTTGTAGACTGGTACCGAGAGCAGCTGGTGGCACGAGTGACATCGGTGGACCCTGTCTTGGACAAGCTGTATGGACAGGTGCTGAGCGAGGAGCAGTATGAGCAGGTGCGGGCCGAGGCCACCAGGCCGTGCCAGATGCGAAAGCTGTTCAGCTTCAGCCAGTCCTGGGACCAGGCCTGCAAAGATCAACTCTACCAAGCCCTGAAAGAGACCCACCCTCACCTCATCATGGAACTCTGGGAGAAGGGGGATGGTATAGGGGGCCTCCCGTCACTCAGAAGCTGAGTCTGAATACCCACCTTTGAGTCCTGGCTCTGCCTGACCCTTCTTTGGGTCTCAGTTTCTTCATCTGTAAACAAGATGCCATCTGACTTATCTTCAGCACTAAAAATGATGGAGCTTTGCTGCTGCTGCTTCTGGGCTTGATATGTCCACGCCCAGTGATGCCACACAGATTCCAGACTGCCTCCTGTGGCCTTCACAGGCTGCGGTCCAGGTGGGATAACTGCATCTCAGGGAATAACGTCCATCTGGAACTGGCAAGAGTCCTGCAGACCTCGCAGAGACCCGTCTGGTGGCCACAGCAGCCAAGCCCAGAGCCCTCCCTGTCCCATCCAGATGCAAGGAGGTGTAGGAGGAACATGGGACTGCTCCACTCTGGCTGGAGACAGACAATGGAAATGGACACGCATCCTTGGGGAGGCTGACTTGGCTATGAATTGGGGGGGGGGGGCAGCGTGTGAAGATCCATGATTTATTTTTCAGTTGTTGTTCTATCCAGCCAAACCCACTCCTGCTGTTGGGAGTCACCCCAAAAGCAGCAGTAGGGGAATTCTCGCAAGGGAGTGTGCCAAGCAGTCCCAAGATGGGGCCAGTTGGATTCCAAAGAAAGAAGCACTGAACAGCAGAGTGATCAGTCCAAACCATGTGTTAGTGGAACTACACAGAGCGGGCTGCAGTGCACCCTCCAGGCTGGAGAAAAGGGCTGTTCTACCCAGGTGTGTCCACAGCAAGGGGTCAGGTATGCAGTTTACATGATGGTTTATGAAATTTGGCTCAAGGCAGGGGCCAGATTCTTTCAGTGTTTTGGGCAACAACCTAGATACCTTGATCAGTGCCTGCGAACTTTCAAGGCCCTAGTTTTGGTTCAAGCCTACTGGGAAAAGAGGCAGCTGGCTGGGTCACAGAGCAGTCAAGGCATTCTGTGATTTTCCATCAGGACACAGAAAGAAAACAGGGGCAACTGGGGGGACGCTACACACCTTGTTGACTCCCTGACTTTTCTGCCCAGACCATGTTGCTCACACGTTCGATAAATTTGGCTGGCTGTGGGGACCTTCCTCTGGAGATCAGAGTGTTCTTGAACTTTTGTGTCCCAGCTCTTGCACATGTCCTTAATAGAATGAAGTCTCAGGACACCAACACTCTAAGATGTTCTTTACCTGTGATCCAGGTAACTGTGCTATTCTTTGGTCCCACATAGGATAAGCCTGATAGCACAATACTGCCAGGACTCTGCACTCAAGTTTCGGGCTCTCCACTTCCAAAGACCAGAAAGCTGTGCATGATAAACTTGCTGGTTTGAACAAACTGTACATCAGCTGCCTGTGATAGCAGTTTTCTGCTGAATGTGACAGGTGTACAATTTGCATCTTCAGCTATCTTAAGAGATAAAAGTGGGCCATCTTTGTTTCAGATATTATTTCTCTCTCCATATGGCCAAAGCCCTCATGGAAGTCCCTCAGAAGCATGAGAGAGTCTTCTTAGGACAGAACTATTTTCATTCCCCTGCACTGGGCATGACATCTCACGGGACAGTGCCTATCCACATCAGCCTAAGAGCTGATTCTGACTCCATTTGGCAGGTAAAAACCCAGATCTCTCTACAGGAAGCTCTGATCCTCTTTATCAGGAACCTACAGGTGGAGTCTGGTAGCTCAGGTTCTGCCCAAGTTGCTGTTGCCAAGTTTTAGCTTCCAGTTGGGGGTTGCAGTGATTGTTGGGGCCACAACATTAACCATCATTGCAAGCAGGATGTATGGGAGCAGCCTGCAACTTCCTGCCAGACCACCTCTAGGAGTGCCTGACTTTGGGGGCAGACTCAAACAGCATTTGTTCCATTGCTGATGGTATTTCCAATATCCTGGGGGTGTGTTCAAAGAGCAAGAGAGCACAGGCATCCTAGAAGCTGAACCCAGACATGTGTCTGCAGGTATGGCTACCCAGGCCTGCCCTGTTCTAAAAGTATTACATGTATTAACTCAATAATTTTAAGTACAACCGTGTATTTGTCAGGTTTGTCTAGACAAACATATGCACTAGGTTCTGTGTATATATACAGGGCTCTCTGGAATGTATGCAGCCATTGTTAATATAATGAGAATAGGCACTTGTTGGATACTTTCCACATGCACATGGACAATGAATGGGGGTTGCTCCTGGTGTCTAGGCTGAGCCCAGAGGGGTCAGCAGGACCTGGATCTATCCCAGCATTCAGTGGACAGGGTCATCTCTTCCCCACCATAGCATTCTGGGGTCCTGATCTTTCCTGTCTCTGAACCCAGGGCCAGCCCCTCCACCTCCAGAACTTCCTGGCAGACTTGAGCATGGGAGGCTGTTTGGCTCCCACATTCCTAGAGCCTGAGGGGAATTTCAGCCCTAAGAAGCCTCTGGAAACCCATCCCCTACCACTACACAAAGTTCACGGCAGAGGGAAAGCCCAAGAAATAGAGGTGAGCCAGAACCCAGGGTGGGGTCTCCATTGAGTCTGACAGTCCCGAAGACTCTCTGTAATGACCATGTTATGAAAACAAAGGACAGTGAGGGACCCTGGGGTGGGGGTGGGTCTGCTCCTCCATGCCTGTCCCTTCTAGGAGCCATGCTCAGGGAGATGACACTGGCCCCTTACCTCCAACCCAGCACCCCACAGACAAAAGCCACCAGCACTAATGAGAAACAATACATCTATTAGGAACATTAGGAAGCAATACATGTCTTAGTAGGAGGAAGCCATTAGCATATAAGGGATGTGATACCATGAGACAAAACAGGTCTTCTCTGAATGTACCAACTTTCTCTTGGAGAAAACTTCCCACCATGAAAGGCATGAGCAGCATGGTCTGGTGGAGCAGACAACCATGTCGGGTGATAGTGAAGGTGGCCCAAGGCTCTTGCCATCCTTAGCTCATGGTGGCAGGAACTGGCTGGGGGCACCAGCTCCCTGAGTGGAGAAGCCCAACTGCTGTCCCTGTTTTGGACCTCCCTGTTCTTCCTAGGATGGCTGTAGCCTACGGTGGTAGTGTAGTGACCACAGGTCACATCTTGCATCACTCTCTTTTGCTCTTAGTCGAAGGGTTCCCTGGGGTAGCAGAAACACACACATGCCAGGGCCTGGAGTTCCTCCTTGTGACAACTGAACTCCAAGGGACTAAGTCCTACCTGAACCCCAATTTCTCCACTAGGATCTGTCCAACTAGTGTAACGAGTGCAGGGACTTGAGCAGTCCTGCTGTGCACAGACACTCTTCTAGTGGCTGGCCCTGAGCTCTGGGTTGGAGCTGACCCAGGCTTGCCTTTCTACAGGGGACCTTCCTGCCTTTTGCCTTTTTTATTGGGCTTCAGGCACTGCAGAAAGTGTTCCCTTTACTGAAGCTGCTTTCTTCTGTAAATGTTTTGCCAGAAAATGATAATATTCCCTGACCCAGGCAGCACGGCTCATCCCACCGTCTTGGGAAGTCCTTGGTCCTGCAGACTTTTATTAGTGCTCTGCTAGTTTGGGCCTCTCACAGGACTCTGTCTTCTCAGTAGGAACAAAATTCTCCTCTGACTCTTCCACGGCACCTTGAATTTGGGGCTGCTGGGCTCCTGCCGCCCTGGCTGCTCCCTCCCTTCCACGTGGGGTCACATAGCCCCTAGGAGGATGACATCCCTACTGGATACACTCAAGGAATAAGACATAGGGACCTGAGAAGACAACATGTCTACGGGGGTCGGAGGGAGGCAACGTCACTGGGACAGCCTGGAAAGCCAGGCCAGTGTCACACTCTTGGAGAAGGACACCAGTGGCAGAACCTTGAAGCTGGTTCTCTGACTCTACTTCCACTTTGAACTCACACTAACTCACAACCTCTGCTTTGAGGCATAGGTTTCCTGGATCCTGGCTGGGAGAAATTCTAGAGAATGGGGAGCTCTTACTGGTCCCCAGAGAGCCTGAACTCAGATTCACATCGATGGTCTGGTAGTCTGTGATCACACTTACTCCCAAGGTGACTTTCCAAGCAGGAGTCTTCTCCTCCTCAGCCTCTATGGTCTCCTGGGTTCTCAGGATTCACACCCGCAGCTCAGCTCCAGCACTGCTCCGCTACTGAAGGGGTCTCCTGAGGCCAAACTCTCCTTCTCCTCCCCTGACACATTCCTTGGACTTGGACTTGGCACTGCCCTGCCTCTCCTGATCCCCTGGAGAGTCGTACTGTGCCAGGTTCCGTGGTTGAATGTGAGCAGCTGAGAAGGTCACCTCCCCCCCCCGTCCAGTGGGAGGGGCCTCTAAGTGCCCACGGTTGTCCCCAGACTGCAGCCGTCTAGGGACGTCCTCTGTCACAGGTGAGAGGACAGAGAGAAAACCGGTCAAGGTGAGGATTTACTTCTCTGTTGTCACCTTCTCTCCTGGACCTCTCCAAGGATGTTCTCTCAGGAAATTGTCAACCTCACCTATAGAGTCGTCCCCGAACTCACTGATGGCCCAGGGGGAAAAGCAGCATGTGGAAGTGGCCAGTGCCCTGCCTTGAGTTCTATGGTCTCCAACGACTGGAGGTTTCAGCCCCACCTGTGCCTAACCCGGAACCTTCCAATGTGACCTTCAAGTATCTGTTGAGTGCACAGATCGAGGAAGAGAGCTCCTGGGAGGTGATCATGCAGCATTTATGTCCCCTGCAGGATGGCAGATTTGTGGGTTTTGTGCTGGGAAGAATCTCCAGGAAGGGCTCCATGAGGGTGGAAGAAACAAGGACCCAAGCAGGAACCCAAGGCAAGATCTGGAGAGATGCCCAGAGGATCCATGCACAGGTTCAAGAAACAGCTCACTGAAGGTTCCACAGAATGTTGAGGAGGAGGAGGAGGCAGATGGGAAATGGATTAGGCTCCAGAGGTATAAATGAGATAATTGCTTACTCAGAGGCCCAGAGAAGCAGCCTGTCAAAAAATCCCTGAAAGCTCATTTGGACACAGGACCATTGCTGAGGGTGTGGTCCCTGTGACAGTGCGTGGGTCCTGGCTTCCTGCCAGCCATGCTGTTCCCAAGTCCGACACCCGCACTAAACCCACAGATCTACCATCCTGGAGGGGTCGGAAATGCTGCGTGAACACCTCCCAAGAGCTTTTCTTCCTCCATCCGTGCACTCAACAGAGGCTCGAAGCTCACACTGTAAGATTCTGAGTGAGGCACAGGTGGGGACCAAAAACCTTAACTACCTGGAAATGAAGAAATACACTGTTAATTTCAGTCAATGAGAAAATCAACCTGGATATAATAAATAAATCATCTAAAAAGACATAAGGAAAGTTCTCCATAACAAAATGTATAGGATTCAGTCACAGCTGCAAGCAGAAGGAAATATGTAGAAATATTTCATTATTAAATACTAAAACCTCAAAGTAGAAGAATTTATTGCTTAGTTTAAGAAAACACAGAAAATAAGTAAAAATAAACAGGTGAAGGAATTAGTAAGAATAGAAAACTAAAAGGACTGAAATTAAATATAAATTACTGGAATTATAAATAAATCTTAAATTTGATTTGCTATAAAGATCAATAATACAGTCTGTATGAGAATCCTTAAGGAAAAGGAAGAGTGTGTGTTAAAATATATAAGATGAGAAATAAAAAGGAGATATTAACTATAGATACATAAGAGATTTTAAAACTATTACTTGCAACTCTAACAAATTATTAAACTAGCCGAGATGATGGCTAATCTCCTGGTAAAAATAAATTATGAAATTAAAACAAGAAGTTGATATTGGAAGGTGAACAAAGATCTACTACTGGAAAGGGCAAAAGTGATCTTCCCTTCAGTGCAATATGATGAACTAACAACATGAACCACCCTTTTGATGCAAATAAGCGAAATGCAGGAAAAAAGAAAAATCCATGTTTTAAAATACATCACAAAGTGGTCCCAACAGTAGGCAATCCTCCGAGGTCCCATTCAGAGCACACGGTGGGTAGCGGGTGAGTCAGAAGTGGCTGCAGGAGTTCCCTGAATCCCAACACTGTCACCTTAGAGGCTGCACAGGATTCAGGGGCTACAGGCATAGGGCTGTCTCAGCTGGGACAGTGTCAGAGAAGACCCCTCCATAAATCTGGCCAGAGCACACACCACTCAATACAAGCCTGAGAGAGAAGGAAACTGCTAAGCAGAAAGGGATAGGAATTGAATTTGCCTAATTTATATGTTTATAGCTACCTTTTATGTGCCTCCTAGAAAGTGCCTGAGGAATGAATGTGAATGGACTCGACAGAGGGCTAGAAAACAATTTAGGAATCTGCAACAGTAGGCCCAGGATAAAGAGACCAGAGCACAGAGAAGATGCTGAAGAGGCAGTATGAGTAAGACCTTGTGACTGATTTGGATGGTGGCAGCAGTGGAGGTGGGGGTGGTGGAGGAGAGGAGGAAGCTGAGAAGGAGGGGAGAGCATGACCTGTTTGTTTCTAGCTTGGACGTTGGTTGGATGATGCTACCTACAATTGACATGGAGAACACTGAAGAAAGGAAACTGATTTGGGGGGGAAAGATAGATTTAATCTTTTACATGCTGAGGTGAGAAACCTGTGACATGTGAAAAGCGATGTCCAGGCAAAATCAAGTTAATAAATGACAGCAAGATCTGGGCTGTAGGGAAACATACAGAAGACATCCACTGAGAGATGACAGTGGAGACCATTAGAGTAGGTGGACGCTCTTAGAAGGATTATCTTGGGTAACAATAATTGACCTCTAAGAAGCTGATAAGATTCTACTCTAGAAAAAGAAAATACACACATACATATATGAGTAAAATATATTACAAAATTTGGAGGATTTAAAGACCTAAGGTGAAGAATTACCTAAGGTAAGTTCTAGATCCTGAAAAACATCAGCATTTAAAAGTGCATTCAAGGTTTCTATGAACCAAACACGGAAGTGATGGTTTTATTAAGAATTCAAAAGAGAGTGGCAGAGATGTGATTAGGTAATGACTTCTAAAATGACCACTGGGTTTGGCAGTTACAATGTATTCAGAACCTTGAGCAACAATTTCAGTAGACTGATTGAGGTGGACAGTGGATTAAAATGTGCCCAAGAGTGACCAGGAGGTGAAGAGGGAGAAATAATGTGTGTCACCTCTTCTTTCAAGATTTCTGATCAAAAAGAAGAAAAGATTATTTATATGAGATGCAGAACTTGACACAGTTTATGGACATCAAAATATGAAAATGAAAAACCTTCCAGAAGGTAAGGGACACCCCAGAGAGATCCTTTGCTGTTGGCTCCCATTCCTACCCCACGTTCTACAAGAGTCTGGGTGGCTTGGAGAGAGACAGGACAGCACTCTTCCAGGGGAAGAGGTGGGCAGGGCGAGGGGCTCGGGAGGAAGAAGGTTTCCACCTCAGGCTCACAGGCTCCCTGCCAGGCTGTGGTGGAGGATCCAGCACAAACCCCCAAACACAGCGACCTCGCACTGCTGGATCGGCCTGTGCACTCAGTGCGGGTTCTCAGGAGGACAGCCTCCCCTGACACTGGATCCTCACTCTCCATGTCAGGTGTCACTTGACCAAGCCTTCCCTCTGCTTGGGCTGAGCAGGAGACACTGTCCAGAGCGTCCATGGTCTGTCCCCAGGATATAGAAAGCTCTGAGGGAGCAGAAGTGACAGTTGCCTTCTGCTCATGTGTCCTCCTTGAGCACGGCACTTGGGAGAACACCAAGTGGGGATTTCACAGACAAATCCTCCTTTGAGTTTCTCAAACAAGGAAACTTTGGAATTCATTTACTGCTTATAAAAATGGGTAAAAGAAACACATTTCTATTCACAAAAATGGAGAGTCACACTATCGTTAGAGAATGAACAATTTCTTAGGGGAGAGGAGGCAGAGAGGCGAGTCCCAGCCCCTCATTATGTTCCTTTTGTTCCCAGCGCGAGGGCAGAGTGAAGAGGAGGAAGAACGGCGGGACCCTGAGAGGTAAGGTTCTGTCTCGTCCCTGAGCTCTCCAGGGGAGCCTCCTGTTCCTCCCATGGGGCCCCAGGTCCATGATCTCTAGGCTGTCAGGTGCTGGGCACAGTGTCTGGGAAAGCAGAGCTCAGGGGAGGCTCACAGGAGGGCAGTGGGACCTGAGACACTTCTCGGAGTTCCGCTCTGCCCACCTGTGGGCATGACGCAGGGATGGGCCTGGGCCATGGGTCTCCCCAGTAGGCGGCCATGGGAGACGTCCAGGAAGGACTCCTGGTGGGTCTGGAGTCAGCACTTCTGTCCCCTGACTCTGCATAAGAGCCCTGACTCCCTGGGTGCTCGGGTTGCTCTGAGGGAACCACTGACTTCTGGGCTTCACCTGGTGCTTTTGAGCATCACGTGGGACAATGGGTGGGACAGTACTTTCTAGATGAGACCACAAACACACGTGACCCTTGTTAATATTACTGTTGAGCATTTGACCACGTCTGCTGATGTTGGGGCTGCCAGAGCTTAACAGGCCCAGGGTCTCCCATAAAGGGAGCCCCGTGTGATTCTCTGCTTCTACCTTCCTCACATATCACCTTCTCTCCTGGTTCCCAGCTCTGAGAATGATCCTGAGAGAGGCCACAGATGGACGGAGGCTGCTTTCTTCCGTGGAAAGGTGATGGATCTTTCCCCTTGTCTCTGGGTCTTGTCGAAAGCATGTTCTGTGCATTTCAGGGATTCAAGGCCCCTACCAAGGCCATAGGAGGGGTCGCCATGGGAATGGGAATGTGAGGGAAGGGCTTGGGGAGGCTAGACAGTGGATTGTGAAGTCAGGGGAGGGGGCGGCAGGCTGCAGGGGCCCCACCCCCACTGGACGTACAGGCTCCCCTTCCCTTGTCACGGTCCTGGCTGCAGCTTTGTACCTCCTGTCTTCTGCAGACCCCTGGGACAGTGTAATATTGATGTCATCTTCCACCTGCATCACCCGGCACACCCACACCCCCTCTGTGAGCTCTGCCACAAAACAGAAAGAAAAGCCACACCATCCCTGCCCAGGGAATCTCTCCATGCTGCTGCTCCCTCTGTGGCCCCTTTGGCCTCCAGCATGACCGCGCTCTCAGAAAGCCCTCCAGGACACCTGCCTCCAGCCCTCCGCCTGACCCTTCCGCACCCCAGCCTCTTGCCGTTCCCCGTCCCCCATGTCATACTCCTCAAGCACATACTCTTCTCCAACCAAAGGCCACTTTCTCGTGGAACACCACCATGGTATTTGACCCCAGCCTTTCATGATACATCGGCCCCTTTCCCCATCCATCCCCTGTCACGCATCCCACTCATGCCCGTGCTCGTCACCACGCACCGCCAGCCCCGTCTGCTCCACCACCGCCAGACGGCACTTTAGCCGTGACTCCACCTAAACCGGCTCCCGCCTTACTGAAGCTTCCTCTGGAGATGTTCTCTCCTGGTAGCGCTCGTGAACTGACCCCTTGTGTGGTTACAAAGAGAAGAACTGACCCTCCAAAGCTGGCAGTGTTAGCATTCTCCTGGTGGCATCTTCATGCCCAGGACTTGTTCCCCTCTGACTGGGCACCCCGTGATTTCAATCAAGAGCTTCTCACCCTCCACTCTTTTGAGGCCTCATTTTCAGGATACCCTGCAGCCAGCCTTGTAGTGTCTGCTCACCTCTCCCTGCCCAACTCTGCCCTGCTGGCTCTCTGGGAGAGACTAGTTAGCAATTGGGTGCAGTTTCTGATGTGCAAGCGAAAGGAACACAAAGTGGGGTCTATTCCAAAGCAGCTCAGGCCAGGCAACCGTCTCAATTCTTCAAGGACTATGTGGCCACAGCTGCCATTCAGTAGGATGCGGCAGTTTCCCTTCCTCGCCAGAGACACGAAGGCAAAGCAGAGGAGCAGCACATGCACCAAGAGCCCCTGAATTATGAGACCTTGGAGGACGACCTGCAGCAAAGATATCTCCAGCTCTTCTAGCACCTGCTGTCTCTGCATGGCGAGTCCCTGCGCTCTGTTGTCCTTCTCCCAGGTGGCTATTCCTCCAAATTTGTGTTCCTCAGTCAATCTCAAGTTCCTTCAAAGCTGAAGGATCTCCGGCACTTAACCGTCTCCAACTGTTGTGCCTGCCCCAAACCCTGCTCCCGTCTCAGTCCCTAACCCTCACCCAGGTCCGGCTCAGGCCCCATTTCAATCCACACTCCCGATCTCACCACCCGGGCCTCTATGACCGATTCGGCCTATGGGGTGAGTTTGCATAAACCCCAGAATGAGGCCTGGTGTCTTGTGACATCTGACATTCCCCACCTGCAAGCAAACGTGCCCCAGAAAGATCAGGAAACGGTTGGGGTTTATGCTCCGCAATCCAGAAATTTCCGGAAGACTTTTGTCCTCCAGGTCCCTGCCTCACATGGCTCAGCCAGTCCTCCAAGGTCTACCTTCCAATTCTCCCAGCACAGAGCTTCAGAATAAAGCCGGACTCCACCATCAACTGAGGCTCATCCCACACGGGTGGGGCTCATCCAACACCTGCTGCATCCATAGGTCTCTGTCACTGTTTAGTCCTCGGAGAGAAACTCCTGAGACATCTGTGTCCATGTGCCATCGTCCCCTCTCCTCGATTTCTTTCATTCAAGTCACAGCAGAAAAGTCCTAGAGAATTTGGTATTCAGCCCATCTGGAAGGTTCCGAGAGGCAGGCTCAGAAATGCCTCCACTTAAGAAAGATGCGAGAAACGATCAGGAACGAAGCCTGAAGAATGGCCCAAAATATCATCTGGGAAGAAGACATTCAGGAGGTGGGATGTCCATGTCCCCTAGAAGAAGCTCTTAAACCTTTTCCTGGAGAAAAAGTCAGAACAACACAATCAGCTCCCAGCCTGCATCATCCCCTCCCTGCCTCTTCCCCTGCGGGAAAAGGGGCACAGGGAGACTTAAGACCATCTCCCTCTGGCGCCAACCGTGACCTTCCAGAGAAGGTCTGGACAGCTGAGGACGGCAGACAGACTGGCCTGCAGCCCCCTCAGGGCAGCACAGACGACATGTTACAGGAGTCCCCTGGGGGCGCATCTTCCCCAGCCACGCCAGCAGAGGGACAGCCTCCTGCTCAACCATGCTTGAGAAAGCGAATGCTCCGACTGTGGCAGTGGCTTCCTAAGCACAGAAGAAAGCCCAAGGGGCAAAAGAATTCTCTGAGGGAGGGCAGCTCCCTGTCGTCTCAGGAGACTTCCTCAACTGCCCTCCTCGGGGGGCCTCAGCAACCTCCCAGCTCCCCCTCCAGGGCTCAGGGACTCCACCGTCCTCTACCCACCCCTTCCCATCATTAGAACACATGAAGATTTAGACTTTCCCCCTGCATTTGCTGAGGGGGGAAATCACTTCCCAAAAACTTCAACATGGTTCTCTGAATAAATGCTATGGAAGAGTGATGTCTGTTGCATGTGCTGTGCTGGGGGCACAAGTTTCGAGTCAGCTAGAGCACATGTTTTGTAGGGACAGGCTGGAGTTAGTTCACCACTTCCTCATGGCCTAGTTTGGCTTCCAAAAGGTGACCAGTCCCCTGGAGCTCTTGTGGAGGAATGGCTACCATGTGGCCCCACACCCGTTCCCACCTGATGAAGTTTGGGGAGATGGGCTCTGTGCCCTTCCTCATAGCTTTGCCTCGTGACAGTAAGTTACAGCTCACAGCTTCCCCCTCATTGAGCAAGCCTTTGGAGCTTTAAAGACAATAGGTCTTCCATAGCAAGACAGGGTTAGATAGGTACACATTTCAGAACATAGTGGCTGAATCATTTATAAGAAACAGCTCTCAGTGACCAGAGGATGACACACGTGGGTGCAGGTTGGGGGGCGTCACTGCTGCAATGGGGACTGGGCTGGGTGGGGGAGGGCTGAGGAACAGCAGACGCTGCCCAAGAACCTGTCCCATGGGGCTGGCTCAGGTGTTGGGGAAGCACACGTGGACCCTGATGGTGTGGTGTCTGTCCTGCAAGTCACCGTGGGAAGTGGGCCCTCCCCTGCACACATCTTCAGGTTGCCGGGATTGATTGCATTTACAGATCACCCACTTTTCAGTGGCAGCAATGTTGCCCAGGCAGACACTGACCTCCCAGGGTAAAATATAGTTGACATAAGGAAAGCATGCCCCACATAAGTGGAAAAGTAAGGAGAAAAAAATGAAGATGGGAAAGACTGTCCTTGCTGGTGGAACAAAGGTGTGTCTGCCCTTGCCGTGTCCCTGTCCTGCTCCTCCTTCCCAGTCAGATCCAGGCACCAGGGTGAGGCAAAGATAAAAAATACAATCAAAATATGTGTACTCTCATATTTCTGAAAATAAAAAAAAAACACCACTATGAGAGGCCACATCACCCCCACCAGGGTGGGTAGAAAGAGAAAGTCAGGTAAGTGCTCGAGAGAGTGTGGAGAAGCTGGCAGCCTCACGCACTGCTGGCGGGAATGGAAATGGCTGTTTGGGAAACAGTCTGGAAGTTCCTCACATCATTCAATGGACTTGGCCTATGATCCAGCAATCCCCTCCTAGATACATACTCAAGAGGAATGAAAACTTGTGTCCACACAGAAACCTGTATGCAAAGGTTCATGGCAGCATTATTCGTAATAGCCAAAAGCTGGAAACACCCACACGTCCACCAACTGAGGAATGGGTGAACAACATGCGCTGTGTCCACACAACATAGCACTGTTCAGCCATAATTAGTGATGACCTAATAACACCTGCCATGCAGGGATGGACCTGAAAACACTACTCTAAGGGAGGAAAGCCAGAAACAAAAGACCACATGTGCATCCTTCTTATGGAATGCTCAGAACAGGGAATCGACAGACAGAGAGTGGATTAGTCATTGCTCAGGGCTGGAGGAAGGAAAACAGTAAATGACCTAGGGGGCATTAAGTGTAAGTAGTAGAAAAAGCGTTATAAACCCACTATTAACAAGTACAAAACTATACTAGGGCACATCATAATCGAATTTCTCAGAGGTGATAAAAAGAAAATCTTCAAAGAACCAGAGGGAAGCCAGGCATGGTGGCTCACATCTATAATCCTAGCACCCTGGCAGGTCAAGGAGGGAGGACAACTTGGGGTCAGGAGTTTGATATCAGCCTAAGCAGAAGAAAGACTCCATCTCTATAAAACAAATCAGCTGGGTTTGGCAGCATGTGCCTGTACTCCCAGCTACTCAGGAGGCTTAGGCTGGAGGATCACTTGAGCCCAGGAATTTGAGCTTGCTATGAGCTAGGATGACACCACTGCATTGTAGGCAGGTGATAGAGTTGGGGGCTGCTTCACCTACCCTTGCCGCTGGTCCCCAGACTGCTCAGGAGGTCTCTGCTTCCAGTTCTCCTCTGTAACCTCCTCCCGTGGAGTCTCCCATAGTGTCTGGTACCCCTCCTTCTGACTAAGCCAAATGAGAAGAAGCCAAATGAGAAAAAAATGATATGTTCCATACAGAAGAATAAAGATAAGGATGACAGTGGATTTCTCAGTGAAACAATGCAAGTGAGAAGCCAGTGGAGCAACATATTTAAAGTATCAAACGAAAAAACGTCAAACTATAATTACAAACTAAGCCAAAGTTTATTGCAAAATAAAGGTGCAAAAATGAATGAGGATTTTATTAGACATAAACAAGCTGAAAAACAGGTTATTATCAGCAAATCCATACTGTAAGATATGGTAAAGAGAGCCCTTCAGGTAGAAGAAAAATGATCTCAAATGGAATGACGGATCTAAGGAGCATTGGAAATGAATATGACATGAGCATATGTACAAATCTTTTGTTATTTAATTCTTTTTAAAGCATAATTGACTATTTAAATGAAACTAATAACAATATAGTATTAAGTATGTTTCTAAAATTCAAATTATAGGGGGCGGAGCAAGATTGCGGACAAGAAACACTGCCAGACACAGTGTCGCTGTAAAAAAGTCTGTATATAGAAGAAATCAGACGTAAGAAGCAAGCAGACGAGCATACATCCACCAAGGGTAAGAAGGAGGGGTACCAGACACTATGGGAGAGACTCCACAGGAGGAGGTTACAGAGGAGAACTGGAAGCAGAGACCTCCCAAGCAGTCTGGGGACCAGCAGCAAGGGTAGGTGCAGTGCTTAACTTTCCCCTCTCTTGCATCTCAGACTGCTGGTGGGCTCCCCAGTGGGAGGACAGACCCGCGGACACCAGGCCAGAGACGGCCACGGCCAGTGAACTACCAAACTCCCAACTCCTGAGGTGCACCTCCCTGTGCACAGACCCAAGGCATGTGGCAGATGCCATATTGCTCCATTCTCTCTTCCCATGACCCTAACGAGGGCACCGAGAGAGACTATATAGCCACCAGCTGGAGGCATCACCTGGGAACGGGACCTTCCCTTTTGGGGCCCTTCAGCTGACTGAGGAGTACTCAGACTGTGAGCTCCCTACCCACCAGCCCTCCCAGGTGCTGCTGGCCTGGTGACTCCAAGAGAACAGGGCAGACCCTGAGGCTGAGAGACACAGACCCAGCTTGGACTTCCTGGGGGTGAATTGGGACTGGCACTCCTCTCCCTGGTGGGGATATAGTTTGAACTCTGGGGCCCAGAGGTCAGACCTGTGGACCAGATCCCGAGCACCAAGGTCTTGCATTGCCCAGGGCACAGACGGGATATTCATGAACAGCTTACTGAGGTGTGTGTGCCATAAAGGGCAGATCAGCATCCAAGAAGGCAACCCTCCTCCCAAAGGGAGTCCGTGCGCCCAGCCCAGGCGGTGACCCTGCGCAGTGAACCTCCTGGCCCGCATCACAGCCAGGGGAGACATGGTAGCTTGAGGTCTGGCCTGCTGGTAGAGGCCTAAGAGAAGCCGCGGAATTGGGAAGGGGGGAAAGGAGTGAGGCCTGTTCTAGACTGCAGGTTTCAGACAGCCCCACCCCCACACGCAGACTATGTGACTGAGTGGGGGCATTCCAACCCCACCCTGACAGCTTTTTCTGGAAGCACAGAACAGAACTTTGACTCCTGTTAACAGCATCGGTGGTGGCTGAGGGCAGGCTTACTCAACCCAGATCTGCCCAGACTCACTCCCCAACCAGCCCTCACTGAGGGGGAGAATAAGGATGCACCTGGTAGTCCCAGGGCCCCACCCACCACCTGAAGCACTAGAGTGCCTCTCCAGAGGAACAAGAACTGGTTGGTTACAGGACCCAAAAGCAACAGCGTAGCCTATTCCTTGAAGCATGCGCCACCTACTGACAGGGAGGACATTCTGCACATCCTTTTCACAGCACCTACTGACTCATCATACAGGCTATGGTTGACTCTCACCCACAAACACCACCTACTGGCTCAGAGACTAAACAGGGTGTGTCATTCCCCAAATGAAAACTTAAAGGAAAGAAGCAACAACTGATCAAGATGGGAAGAAATCAGCAAAGGAACTCTGGAAATATGAAAACACAAACAGAATGCACACCACCAAAGAGGAACACCAACCCCTTAGAAATGGACACCAACCAAAATCAGACCACTAAAATGACAGAAGAATTACAAGTATGGATCATAAGAAAATTCAATGAGTTGCAAGAAAAACTGCATAATCAACACAAAGAAAACTCAAAAAGACTCCAGAACCTGGAATAAAAATTCATTAAAGAAATTGATACAATGAAGAATAGTCTAACGGAACTCCTAGAAATAAAGAATCAATTCAGGGAACTACAAAACACAATGAAAAGCCTCGAAAAACAGGGTAGATCCAAACGATAGAAAGAATCTCCGAATCAAAGAGTAACACTTTCAATTAATAAATCAGTTCATGGATGATAGGAGCAGAGAAAAAGAGAAAAG